TTTGTGTATATGTGTATATATATATATGAGTCTATGATATTGTGTATATCTTATTATAGATTTGTAGATGTGTGTATATATAATTTGTGTATCTATATTTATATATATATATATATACATTCCACACTCTCTACATGTAGTATGTGTATATATAATTATATATATATAAATTATATAAATATGATGTATAAGCACATGCTAACCCATAAAATAGATTGAGCATATAGATGAACAATGCATATATCAAACCTGGATTCAAACATATTTCGCAACTACTGACAAAACAAACAGTACTAGAGTACAGTATAGATGAAGAATAGTACAGCACTTGATGTGGTAAACCAAAGACAGCGCAAGTACATAATCTATATGATATTATAAGAGTACTGTATATAAGAATGTGAGGGGCCCCGATCTCGCAACTTCTGACGCTCCGATTCTGGTGGGAATCAGGCCCTATGGATGGATGAATCCCATCGTGCGAAACACCCCCATCTGATCACAGGGGTGTGGTTCGGAGATACCCGGCCTGGTAAACTAACAAAAAACGATGGCAAATCACCATTTTTAATGGGTAAATCAACGAACTAAATAGGCCATTTTCATTAGCAAACTGTTTGTTTACCAGAGAGTATTCATAGAAGGGGGAGGGGATTACCCAAGCAGCCCAGCGACATTTTTGTTGCTTCAAATCCTGCTTACGAATTCGCGGTGACACTTTGCGGTTTTTGGACTCGAATTAGGGTCCGGTCCACAAGGTCGAGGACGTTTGACGTGATGAACTCGAAAGGTCACACCATGATTTAACATGCGGTGAAACGACCAACTTAAAAATGACCAGATACCCTCTGGTTATGACTAACATAGCCATGGGAAATAGCCCATTTATAGAGGTTTACCATTCTTAAAACTGGTGATTTTCCATGGCTATGTTAAATAACCAGATGGTATCCATATCTGATGTAAGCATATGTAAGCAAGTTACAGTGTAACTTGCAGTTACTTGGGTAGATGTCCTTCGCTACGCAAAAATCTGATGACCGAAAAAAATGGAAGAAAACAGTCAGACTTCATCTTGATTCCCCGCGAGTTTGGCCTTGAATGTCCGATCAAACATCATGAAATATTGTAATCTGGTTGGTGGTTTTAACCATCTTGAAAAATATGAAAGTCAATGGGAAGGATGACATCCCATATATGAAATGGAAAATGAAACATGTTTGAAACCACCAACCAGTAATTAAGTAATTTGATTCTTACATTCATTAATGCATCAAACACATGTTTGAAACTACCAATCTTGGATGTTGCAATGATACATAAAGATCAGCATACTACCAAAAACAATTCCGAATGCCATCAGACATGGAATTTCAATCAACAAGAGCTACCCTCCACTAAACTAACATAACTTCAATGGAAATTCCAGGATCCTAAAATGGAGGTACGTTAGTACCATATAAGGCCATATGAATTGCTGGGGATATTCCCTTACATAAGCCTGAAAAATGGGCCTTACATACGGTAGGTACCTCCAATTTAGGATCCTGAAATGGCCATTGAATATACGAACGATAGATATCTGTAGAATTCTATAGATGTATCATGATATATCTATATACCATACTTAGTTGGTTATTTATAACATAACTACGGGAAAATTGCCTATTTATAGATGATTGACCTATAAAAGGTGGTGCTTTTCCAGTTCGCTATGTGACTTTACCCGGAGGCGATGTAGCCATGGCGGACACTTCGCCCTGGTACCCTGGTGAACCCCCCCAAAAAGTGGGATTTTATATGGATTTCTAATGATGTAGGGATGTAGATGGATATTGATTCCCATAAAAATTATGGATACCCTCTGGTTATGACTAACATAGCCATGGAAAATCACCATTTTTAATAACTAAACCATCTATAAACGGGCCATCAATACCATGGCTATGTTAAATAACCAGAGGGTATTTTATAGGTTTCATCGTCTGAAAATTTAGGGGAACAGCCTCTAAATCCATGGGATTATCATCATTATCCCTATTTAAAATGGCCATGTGGGGGTATACCTCATCTTCAGACAAACCCATGTACCCTATGGATCCAAAAGGATCCAAACACCTCCTGAGAAGGTACTTAATTAACCACCCAAATCATGCCCCAAAGACTTCCTATCCATGGGGATAGTTAAAGCCGTGCTTTGTCCAATGTCCATATCTTCAACTCCGCCGACAAAGTTTCTGGATTACCTTCCAACTTTAACCTCTTCAACTCCTCATATGCGGGTTTCCATAAATGGAGGTATCCCAAAATGGATGGTTTATAATGGACAATCCTATTAAAATGGATGATTTGGGGGTAGGAACCTCTTTATGGATCCATGAGGTACTTGGGATAGTTATCAACCAATCCCTTCAGCTTCTTCAACTCCGCCTTGCGCCTTCCATAGCTTCGACCCAGTCTTCCGACTCACCCTCCGTGTTGGAGGTAACATGTTTTTTGCTCAGAGAGATCGCTGGAACCTGTTGGAAGTAGCCTCTGGTAAACATACAAAAAACTATGGAACATCACCACTTTTAATGGGTAAATCAACTATTTCTATGGCCATTTTCAATAGCTATGGAACAAATTATCAGAGGGTATCCAGATTCTCATGGTCTTTGGATTACAAGTACATCATCCCAATCTAAAAATAGATGAGAACTGGGGGTACCCCTATTTTAGGAAACCTCCATATGGATCCATGAGGTACTTGGGATAGTTACATGTCGTGGCGCCCGTAAGATTTGTTGCTTCATGAGCCCATCTAACGATGGAATACGACATAGATTCCTATCCCTGATAAAACCTAGTGATGGGGGATCATAGTCATTCCAAATAAAATTAACATATATCAATGGGAATTTCAGGATCCTAAAATGGAGGCACGTTAGTACCATATAAGGCCATATGAATTGCTGGGGATATTCCCTTACATAGGCCTTATATATGGTAGGTACCTGCAATAAATCGGTTCCTGAGTCATGGCCATTGAATATAGGAACCATAGATATCTGTAGAATTCTATAGATATATCATGATATATCTACCATACTTAGTTGGTTAAAATGGCAATCCAGCCGAAACTTAGTTGGGTCCTACTTGCGTCGCCGGGTCGAGATTTTGGAGATGTCTGACTGGTTCATCCAATTTTCCCTGGCATGGGATCACAAATATTAGATGAAGCTAGAGGATGGCTATCTTATATGATGGGGATGTGTCTTAGAGTATGGCTAATCTCCAACAAGTCTCCATCACTTACACAAGTTTCATCCAATTTTCTTAAGGATCATGGCTAATCTTAGATACTCTGCAAGATAAGGGAAACTGATTCTGAATATAAGCTATGTTTGTTCCATGTTCCAGTATCATTATTCATTATGGTTCAGTACTTACCCTTTGGTGCTTTAACATAGCGAACTGGAAAACCAGCATGTTTGATAGGTAAATCATGGTAGATCCTGTATGAATGGGCCATTCTCATCCATTTTCCTAAAGCTAGCTTGGCTGTTCGGCGATCCCACGATGCGCGCAGCATTGGCGCGAGGACAATGTCCTGAGAAGCTGTGATGAGATTGGAACGATTTGCAGCAACATCAAATGGAGGTTTCCTGAAATAGGGGTACCCCCAATCATCCAAAACCAGACTACTTTAGTCTTGAAACCCATGGTTTTGGGGTATCCCCATTTTAGGACTCCAAATGGGCCTGAAACTGGAGGGAATTCGATGGCTAATCATCATTTACTCATCATTACTAAGGGATTAGTTGAACTAATGGGAAATCAGCAACATCATTCTTATGAATGCCTTCCCCCTAAAATTAAACACCACACCCCACAAAAACATGGTAAAAGTAAGGGATGAGATCACATATTTGGGACCATAGAATAGGGATGTTTCATAGGATCGGAATGTGATGATCATGGTACACTACTACTTCCGTATCTCTTTTTTCTTACTAGTGCTTAGTAGGGAAGGAGGGAATGATCATAATGATCCACAATAACAATTAATAATAATCCCAGCAACCCCCATTCCCATCCAATCCCTACTAAGCACCAGTAAGTTTTTGGTGCTACTGTAGGCAATCATTCCATGACACAGAGAATCAAACTCACAGTTTTGGCGTTCCATCCAACACTCCCGATTGTTGAAATAACATCTACCCTCTGGCTATGACTCACATCATTTGCTATTGAAAATTGCTGTTTATGGTGAGTTTTCTCATTAAAAAAAGTGATTTTCCATAGTTATGTTACTAACCCACTGATGAAATCTCATAAAAAAAAACACCATCAACCACCAACATCAACCAAATCACCATCGACCCAGAATATCGGAATATCATCCAATACTTACTCAATGGGTGATCTCCCAGCAAAAACTTAGGCATTTGCTGAGAGTTAGAACGTCATGTTGCTGGTTGTATATCCCATCATCTACCCTTCTGGATTGATATTCTGACTACTTATTATATCACTATGATACCCCCGCTAAAGTTGCACATTTGGGAAACTCACAGCTTTAGCCCCCCTTATGGATGAACAGATCCCATCGATTATGGATGATATCTCGATGATATGCCAGTATAGTTGAAATCAAAACCTGTTATGGTCAAATAGCCAATTTTGAAGGTTGAAATCACCATACCACGAAAATCACCCAATGTTTTTTTCTACATAAATCATGCTAAATCATCATGCTATTAGTGTTAAATTGGCTGGTGAAACCTCCATTCTCTCAGGGGTAGATACACAATATCCCACCATTGTGGGTTGAATCCAATTTGTTGACAGATTAAAGAATAATCACTCCACATTTTTCTGGTTAAAGCATGTCAAATCACATCAAAATCTAAACAAGAAACATAATTCCTGACTCTTCTGGATAAAATCACCTCAAATTTCGAAAAAAAAACAAACAGACAATCCATGACAATCCGACCAAAACCCCAAGGGTGCCTTCAATCCTCCTCTGGAATCTCCTCCTCCATCTCGTCGGGAGGTGCTGGTCTCTGCTCTCCTTCATCCTCCGGCAACGGCCTAGGCAAATGCGGGGTTTCCCCACGGGGCAAATCGGAAGGTTTTAGCATAAATCTGGGAAATAATTTTAATGGGATTTCAATGGTTAATATATGGTTAATAATGGTTAATATATGGTTAATGATGGTTAATAATAATCTGGTTGGTGGTTTCAACCCCTCTGAAAAATATGAAAGTCAGTTGGGATGATGAAAGTCCGAATATATGGAAAAATAATCCAAATGTTCCAAACCACCAACCAGCCACTAGTTGTATGGCAATGTTGATCGGGAAAGTGGATGAACATGATAAATCATCAGTTGATTTGGTGACCATTCTATGTTCAGACAACCCCCAATGCTGCGATTTGGTCAGGAGAAAATGGTGAGCGAACTATGATGTCAAGCACAGAACATGGGATTTTGAAAGAAATAGTGGTGTGGGGTTACAAGTAGAGAACTGTCGGCCCTGCGGCCATTGCAGCTCCTGGATCTGTGGCCGTTTCATGTTGTTATGGACCTCATCTGCATCTCTTTCTTCAGTTCGCAGTTGATCATGTCAAAAGGACTCCGCACAAATTACTCCGGACACCTATGTTTTGTAGGGTCTACCACAAGTCCATTCAGGGCTGATTCTGGCCATATTTGCCCTATCAACTAGCCTATCAACCTCCAAATATCCACAGGCCCCACCATTTCAGCACCATTTCCAAGTGATGTTTGCTCCAAAAAATACCCTCTGGTAAACTAACATAGCTATTGAAAATGGCCATTTATAGTGGATTTACCCATTAAAAGTGGTGATGTTCCATAGTTTTTTGTATGTTTACCAGAGGGTATCCATGCAAATCTCATCGAAATTCAGGAAACCCGGCAGTTGACCTCCATCTGCTTAGCTCATCATGTCCAGAGTCCAGAGAAATAGTCCAACTGCTGCTTTTGGAATCAGGATTGCAACCCAGTAATGTACATGGGATAACACATGATAAACCCAAAGCGGACTTACTTTCATCAGGACACTTGACCACTTTCATCAACTTACATTTACTCGCATTTCCTATCTGGGCTCAAAATGAGGTACCCTCTGGTAAACTAACATAGCTATTGAACATGGCCATTTATAGTGAGTTTTCCCATTAAACATTGGGATTTTCCATAGTTTTTTGTATGTTTACCAGAGGGTATGCCATAAGAAATGGCACTGTTGAATGCTTCATTCTCCCAGTACCGTCAAATTGGTGGAAGATCCCCCTACATTTCCACCATGTTTGAACTAAAACCGCCTGCGTGTGCATTCCAGGAAGTAGCTAATCAACCACGTGCAAACCATTCAAATTGGTGGCCAGTGGTATATATATATATAAATTATATATATATAAATTAGAGAGAGATATATATATATAAACTAGATATATATATATATATATAAATTAGATATATATATATATGACATGGACATCTGGTTGGTGGTATACCTGCCCCTCTGAACAATATGAGTTCGTCAGTTGGGACTATGAAATTCCCAACTGAATGGAAAAATTATCCATTCATGTTCCAGTCACCACCAATCAGATCACCATAATATTCCCATAGTTGTCGGTTTATAGCCTATTAACCACTATTAACCATCACATAATCCAAATGTTCCAGTCACCACCAACCAGATATACATGGATATGGATGGACCCCATTAAATCCTATTAAATTACCATTAAATCGGGGATTTTCCCATGAATACATACCATTAAACCAGACGAAAAGTCTCCTCCTAATTTTTTCCCATGAATATACCATTGATATCCCTAATGTAGATCTGGCTGGTGGTTTTTAACCATCTTGAAAAATATGGGTTCGTCAGTGGGAAGGATGACATCCCATATATGAGATGGAAAAAAATGTTTCAAACCACCAACCAGAGTTTGTTGGATTATAATCCCATCTCACTATAGATTACTAGAGATATATCCATCAGAAATCATCATAAATCCCATATACCATTGATATCCCAAATGTAGATGGTTGTATTCCCATAGCACTGATGAACAATCCTCACCTTTCCATTACTCAACTAAAATCCATTAAAATCCCATTAGCATCCATTAAAATCCCCAAATGTAGATGGTTCACCATTGATATTCCATTGATATTCCATTGATATTCCATATATCCCAGAACCAGATGATATTATACCATATTATACAATATTATACCATATTATACCATTGTTCCAGTCTATTGGTTAATCCCCCGTTGATGAATCCTCTATTAATTATCTTGATATCCCAAATGTAGATTTGGTTGGACCAGCATAGATGAGGATCTTGCTTCCCATCGGAATGGCTTCGAGCTCCAACGCGTTCGAGCCCACGGCGACCACTGTCACATCACACTTGCTAGCATCATGCAAAATCACATCCATCCTGTCATTCCCGCGACTGGCCGCTGTCAGCGCTTCCTTCGAATGCAGCCAGCCACACAGTGAAACGTGGCCTGACAAGCCAATGAGAGGCGAAAAGGTGTGCAGAAAGCCATCCAATGCCGGGGACATGTGCTTGGCCATCGACTCGCTGTCCACCTGCACCTCAATGCTTGAACTGTCCATGCTATGTAAGCATACCATCGCCAACCCGGGCACCGGTGCAGGTCGCCAACCCGGGCACCGGTGAAAGTTGGTTATAGTTCCATGAATATACCATTTATCCCAAATGTAGAGGGTTGTATTTCCATCTTGGTGGTTCACCCCCACGGCTCGTAAGTAGGTGAAAAAACCCTGGTTATAACTGGGAAAAGCAGGGGCAAGGTTCACTTATAGCTGGGGTTATAATCCACTTACTAACTGGGATGAACTCCATTACTCAACTAAAATCCATTAAAATCCCATTAACATCCATTAAAATCCCCAAATGTAGATGGTTCACCATTTATATTCCATTGATATTCCATAACCGGATGATTATTTGGTTGTATTCCCAAATATAGTTGGTTGTAAGTTATAGTTGAATATACCATTTATCCCAAATATAGTTGCTTATAGTTGGTTGCATTCCCCCTTGGCACCAGAAAGTCATCTCCAGCGATACCAACGGAGGCACTGCCCCACTGCGCGATAGATCGTCTCCAGCAGGGATCGATCTAAGTAGGGCGTGAGCACCTCAGCGGCACTTTTTAGTTTTTTTTTGGGAAGTCTTTTTTAGCGCCAGAAAATGGCCATTGAAGCAGCAAAAATGCTGATTGAACAAGATTTAAGCAGCAAAAATGGTGATTTAAGCATCAAGAATTGCGATGTTGCCACTCAAAAGGTACTAAACATGGTGACTTGCTCTTCCTCATTCCAAAACGAATCAGTGCAGTATATCCAAAAGGAGAAATAAGGCCTCTTGTTTCGCGCAAAGAGCCAGAAATTCCTGCTCGTAGTCTTTGTACGTGTCAAACCCAAGGTCTTGGCCAGGTGAACTGCTAGGCTGGATTTGCCGACATTGGGGGCACCTGATATTACGATGACCGACTCGGCAAGTTTGTCCAAGAGCAAAGGGTACCAATCGGCGGACGTTGTTGCTTCTTGTGAAGCCAGCTGCCTCCACCTGCCCGCCTCTGGACCACGAGTTTCCTTTTGTTGGATCAAGAGTCGCGACTAAAACTGGTGAGTTAAGCATCAAAGATGGTAAATTCACCGCTAAAAAGTGCAATTTCAGCACTAAAAATGGTGACTAAATAGCAAAGAATCGTGCAACAAAATGATACAAAGTGTGATTTTACCAACACAAATGGTGACCGAACCAAGAAAAATGGTGGTAGAATGGGGATATAATTGGTTTTCTGGTGCCTGAGAAATCTCACTAAATCGAGGTTTATGGCTGGGAAATCATCTATAAATGCAGATTTTCCATTTCCATAATAAACCTGATTAGTAAAACTTCAAAGTGGGTTGATCCATGTGTGAATAGCTTAAACGGTTTAATCAGGGGCGAAATTAAGTTGGCATATGTTTTTTCATTATTTTCTTTGGTCGTCCAGGCTCCCTTCCTTGGTTTTTGCAGCTAAAATCTCTCATGTGCTGTATTTTGTAGCTAAAATCTTTCATTCGCACTGTTCATATTTTTTTCCACTGGTCTCATGATTTGTTTCAATGGTGTTTATCGAGTTCTCCATCGTTCTCATTGGTTTGTCTATGATTTTCTTCAATTTTTCCATGGTTTTCTTCAATTTTCATGGTTTTCTTCACTTGTTCTATGGTTTTCTTCGATTGTTCCATGGTTTTCTTCCATTTTTCAATGGTTTTCTTCAATTTGTCAATGTTTTTCTTCAATTTGTGCATGGTTTTCATTCAGTTTTCACTTGTTTTCATTCATTGTTCCGGAGTTTTCATTGATTTTTACATGGTTTTCATTTATTTTCCTGAAATGTTCATTTATTTTTGGAAATAAATCATCAGTTGCAGGAAGGGCCCCCTCAATAGGAAAGGAAATGTTGTTTACGGCAATTCGCTTCGATGGTGGATGGACCGGGTTGTAGCTGGAGGGCCCCTTCCCTTAAGGCCCCCTTCAAAAAATGTTTGGATTTTACATCTTTACATAAACTGGTTGGTGGTATACCTACCCCTCTGAAAATATGAAAGTCAGTTGGGATTATTATTCCCATATATATATATATATATGGAACTAGACGACGGATGCCCGAGAGCGTAGAGGAGCAGAGTCTTCTGTTGTTAGTATGGAGACACTATATTACAAGACAATATATTAAAGATGTATTATAGGCAGACGAGACGATATATCACAAACACAAAACAATAGTTTGCATCGTATCTTTCGTATAGTTACTTCACACACAGAACTTTTCACAGACAGACGTTTTTGCACACAGAGACTTTTACACACAGAGACTTTTACACACAGAGACTTTTACACACAGAAGCTTTTACACACAGACGCTGTTACACACAAGCTTTTACACGCAGACGCTTTTACACACACACACACTTTTACACACAGAAACTTTTACACACAAACACGTTTACGCACAGAGACCGGACCCGTGAAATCGCAATTTTATCTCAGTTTTGGGCGATCAAACCTCGTTTCGTGCGAAAGGGTTGCGCGGGACAACTTGCAATCGCAATTTTACCGCAGTTCTTGGCGATCGAACGAGTTCGCCGGACAACTTGCAAATCGCAATTTTACCTCAGTTTTTGGCGATCAAACCTCATTTCGTGCGAAACAGTTGCGCCGGACAACTTGCAAATCGCAATTTTACCTCAGCTTTTGGCGATCGAACTTCATTTCGTGCGAAAAGGTTGCGTACGTGCCGTCTCGTTGGCACTGCCCCACGCCTTCAAGAGAGAAATAGAAAAGAAGGAGAGAGCAAGAGGGCAAGAGAGCAAGAGGGCAAGAGAGAATGTGAAGATGTGAGGATTTGAAGATGTGAGGATGTGAGGATGAGAAGATGAGAAGATGTGAGGATGTGAAGATGAGCAGATGTGAAGATGTGAGTATGTGAAGATGAGAAGATGTGAAGATGTGAGGATGTGAAGATGAGAAGATGTGAAGATGTGAAGATGTGAAGATGAGCAGATGTGAAGATGAGAAGATGTGAATATGTTTGGATGTGAAGATGTGAAGATGGGAGGATGAGAAGATGTGAACATGTGAGGATGTGAGGATGAGAAGTTGTAAAGATGTGAGTATATGAAGATGAGAAGATGTGGAGATGTGAGGATGTGAAGATGAGAAGATGTGAAGGTGTGAGGATGTGAAGATGAGAAAATGTGAAGATGAGCAGATGTGAAGATGAGAAGATGTGACGATGAGAAGATGTGAAGATGTGAGGATGTGAGGAAGAGAAGATGTGAAGATGTGAGAATGTTTGACAGACCCCCACTATTAGAAGAACCCTGCGCTCAGACGCTCTCGGGAAAAAATAAAAAATGATCCAAACCACCAACCAAATAAAGTAGATGGGCAACAAACGGATACACATGGTACTATCCAACATGATGTTGGCACAAAGGCTGCCCTCCGCCATGTTTCATGCTTGGCATACTCTCGGTGCGTTGAATTCACTCGCAGCCTGCGGGTGGAGCTGCCGCCTTCAGCTGTAACCGCAGCTGGGTCTTCAGCAGGTGGCTGATCCGGGGCTCAGCCTTCAAGGAGCTGTGCTCGGAAGCATCAGCAGCGGCCCCTGCGGGCTCCATTTGCTCTGAATCTTCTACGGTCACTTCGAGAAATTCCAGCAGCCCCAAGTTCTCTCGTTGCGTTGCACAATCCGAGCCGCTCAGATTATGGGATCATATTAACATATGCTAACGAATCGTAAAGTCATGTTGACATTGAATCATATGAACCATATTAACATATAATTATTGAATCATATTAACCATGGTTCAATATAATTACTGGATATGCTTCAATCTTATAGATATATCAACCATATCAATATATTGCTCCACAGATAAAGTGAACTTAAACTATATTAACCATCATGTTTCAATCCCCGATCTACAAGTATATAATTCTTTGGACCCTTTCTAAGGCACGATGCCACGATGTCATGCAGCGAAGTGTACCGCGTGTACCAAGGCACGATGCCACGTTGCCTCATTCGCTCCACTGTCCTTTTTGCCGAAGAAGAGATATTCCCAGGGAGATGTCAACCTTTTTTCAAAATATCTTAGCCTAAGATTCTTAGTATCAGTTTAATATAACCATAATAATCATAATATATATATAATATCTATTAGCCTAGATTCTTTCATAACCATATATTATATATTCATAGTATATGAAAATATGTACTGTATTAAGTGGTAATGTAACTCATGTTAATCTAATGTTAAGTAATGTGGTAAACCCAATATGAAGATGTCGAGCTGATTGGATATCACTTATCCATAGTTTCTCTTGGATTCCTCTATTAATCTCGTAAACCCAAATATAAACCATCCCCCATATTACCATAGATGGATGGTGTAAACCATCCCCAAATGCTATGTGTATTGGGTTTACCACATTAACTATATATATATATATACACCTTGTAATCAAGCGTGGCTTGCTGGAAAGAACCGTCTTTATTCAATGGGAATTTCAGGATCCTAAATTGGAGGTACTGTACCATATAAGGCCATATGAATTGTGGGGATATTCCCTTACATAGGCCTGAAAAATAGGCCAAACATATATGGAATCGGTACCTCCAATACATCGGTTCCTGACATGGCCATTATAGACATGTTTTTCCAAGCTATAAACCTCTATTTGTAGGGGATTTCCCAGGCCAACGTCTAGCTAGAAATGGGAACTTCAATCAGCTGGGGGGGGTCATCCAGACATAATCCAAATGGTAAACCAACATTGGTTTATCCAAGCTATGTTTTTGGGTTTATAATAACCCAAGTTTATCCAGTCATGTTGAAACAACATGAAACAACATGGTAAACCCAATAAACAATACACTTCCATAAATCATCCTGTATATCATCCTTTTCATCATCACATGTTTATGGCAGGTTTACCACATCAAAAACCCCTCAACATCCGCGATGCTTTTGTGGATGGGATTTGGTCACCCCGTAACCGGTGCGATGTTAAAAAGCAGCGATTTTTTCGGAGACTTCCCTGGCGATGTTTTGAGGATCTAGACTCTAGATGTTTCAACAAACTGATAGAATGTTTTGAGATCAGATAACATCATTAACATCTAGCACCTATTTTTTTTTAATGATAGCTTACCTGGTTGATAGTTAGAACAAATATCTGATAGCTTACCTGGTTGATACTGCCACTTTAGGATGTTCAAGAAGCAAACACAACTGGATCCATGTTCACTCTCAAGTTTTGGATTGGTCCGTGAGTTACTTTTCATGATACGAAACGTGAAGGAAATGATAGAAATGAACAGTGGTAACTATGATTTATGGTGTGTATATATATATATCTGGTGGGTGGTTGAGCCCTACCCCTCTGAAAAATGATGGAGTTCGTCAGTTGGGATGATTCTTCCCAACTGAATGGAAACAGAATCCACATGTTCCAAACCACCAACCAGCATATAGTATACATGGGGTTTATATCTACAGTGAATGGGTCGGTTCCTGAAGATTTTTCTGCTGGTATTCACACATCCACTCTGCGGATCCCAGTCCTGTGGGCTGAGTTGTAGTCATTCATCTCGCCGTAGTACCTGAACAAACAGGCAACAAACGCACAACATGACTATAGTGTTTCTCATAAACGACCAAAGCATGGGGATAGAAGTGGAAAATAACCAGTTGTTTATAGATCACTGTTTAAACATTGTTAACATCTGATAAACGATACAAAGATCTGTTTAACTATCAAACACAGATAGATGCTAATATAAGACTACTTGAAAGATATCAAAACACACAGAAATCCGTCCCAGACGCACAACATGACTCTTGTTTCTCATGAACCAATTGACCTTATAGGGATGTATAACCATTTCTATAATGATGTTTATATCCCTATAATTTGATTAATGATGTTTAATAGATGACTGCTTTGCCATCAAACATTAGCTGTTCAACTGTCAAACATGGGGATATCATGGGACATCATCTATAAATGGGGATATTTATGTTATATATATATATACAGTATATACAAAAGCCAAATTAATGTAAAATTTGAAATTTGGGTATGTTTGAAAATTGGGACACCCCCCCGTCCCATGCAGGAAAAATGGAGCATGTGGCTATTGCTATTGTGTGTTGGATCCTAGTCGCTCCCCTGACATCGCTATTCATATCTGTGGAGGGCAGGGATGGAACACTATACTTTAGGACATTGATCTCAAAAATCACGTTCCACATGTTTTTTTTTGGAGTTCAATGTCCAAGTATAGGTGAGAAATATTGATGAATAACGTGATTACTTGGTGATGAACATTTCATGTTAACTCCAGTATACATCAGTGTCATGTTTGCTTGAATTACTTGGTGATGAATAACGCTTGCCGCATATCTTTTAAATCGCACATGTCTGCCCAGTAAGTAAGATGAACCTACCCACCTAAAAAAAGTGTCTAAACTCTTCTCCTTTCTCGTTTCAAATACATACAAAACATAACCTACACTTTTCTCCCCAAACATAAATCGAAAATGGCTAAAACTAGGTCAAAATATCATATTGTTGTTTCTATAAATATCCCATTAGATGTCCCAAATATTTCCCCTCATGGTCGGTAATGAATGTTCATCGGTAGATACTTATCTTTGTGAGTTAAATCCCCTGATATCTGATTATATTGGTTTAACCAGTGGTATAGGTTAACTTTACCATTTTTCCGGTTCCCAATATTTCAGTTCCCAAATATATCAAAAAATAAGCCCCAAAAAATGGAATATACCAGATATTCATCTTCCAATTACTGACGATTTAAGTGAATAGCCTTGTGGTTACGTTCTGGTAAATTAAGAGTTTGCTATTGAACATGGCCATTTATAGTTGATTTACCCATTAAAAATTGTGATTTTCCACAGTTTTTTGTATGTTTACCAGAGGGTAAATCCCCCCCATCGATTTTTTTCTGGTTCTTGATATCCCCAAATCTTCCCCAAATGAAAGTGTTTCTTTAAAAAACCATCGACGACAACTCGTGAGTCGTGGCACCACCTTGCAGTAAGATGTACAACTGGGAATCGAATTCTTACTGGTGCTTGGTAGGGAATGGATGGGAATGGGGGAATGGGATGATTATTAATAGCCCTCATTCCCTACTAAGCACCAGTAAGAATTTAGTTGTATAGTTGCACCTAGGATATCACATTAGAACTAAGAACATAAAGGTCGATCTACAATCGACCCAGCAGTGAAATATCAAACTGGGGGTCCCACCTTGCAGTTGAAAGTTGATTAACATCCATCAACTAGTTCGATATACCATCTGGTTATGACTAACATAGCCATGGAGATAATCCCTTATAAATGGAGGTTTTAATGGGAACATCATCTATTTGGCTATGTTAAATAACCAGAGGGTATAAACCACAGAATTCAGCTTGTAAGTTGACTTAGCTAAGTATGGGGCACCATCTTCTAATGTGGTTAAAACAATAATAAACCATACCCCAAACACCATTTTTATAGGTGGTATAAACCATTCCCAAATGGGTAGTTTATTATTGTTTTAACCATATTATTGGGAATATTTGGGGATACCCTCTGGTAAACTAACATAACTATGAAAAATCACCATATTCAATGGGTAAATCAACTATCAATGCCCATTTTCAATAGCAAACTGTTAGTTTACCAGAGGGTATATCTGCCTATATCAGACTATATCTGACTATATCATACTATATCTATAATATATATATAGTATATATATATATATGTACTATTTTATCCTATATGTGATGTACATCACTTAACCACCTTCGCGGTTCCAAGCTGCACCGCGGCTTCGCCAAGGCGCTCCACGAGCTGCGCGAAGATGTCGCCCATGCGCACCGCGGATTCGATGTCCGGTAGGTCGACCATGCCTGGCCACCGAGGTTTGTCCCACGAAGACCGAGGTTTGTGTTGGAAAACCATAGGAAAATGGAGGTTTTAATGGGAAAACCATAGGAAAACCATAGGAAAATGATGGAAAATGAAGGTTTAGCCTCTGGTAAACGTTCACATAACTATGGAAAATCACAATTTTTAATGGGAAAACTCACTATAAATGGCCATTTTCAATAGCTATGCTACATTACCAGAGGGTATACTTGGGTTACAATTACCCTCTGGTTATGACTAACATAGCCATGGAAGCCATGGCCAAATAGAAATAGATGGTTTACCTATTAAAAATGGTGATTTTTCATGGCTATGTTAAATAACCAGATGGTACAATGGCTTATATGGGTTATTTTGGGATATATTCGGGATATATTTGGCATAAACTTGGGAGATGGGTTACCCTCTGGTTATGTCAAAATAGCTATTGACAATGGCCATAGAAATAGTTGATTTAGCCAGCTATAAAATTGTGATTTCCCACAGTTATGTTAGTTTACCAGAGGGTATACTTGGGTTACAATTTTCAATGGCTTATAATATGTTATAAGCCATTGTAATTGTAACCCAAGTGTCATTTTGATTCATTTTGTGAGATATTTGGGACATACTTGGGACGCACGTTGAAAAACTTGGAAAAGCTATACTATGGTTTATGCTCAACAAATGTAAATATATCTATATATAGTATCCCCCTGATTATGCCCTTTGGTAATTAACATAGCTCTGAAACATCACCAGTAAACGAATAGGTAGATCATCATGTTTATCTATACATGGGCCATCTATGCCATAGCTATGCTATATAAATAGCCAGATGGTAAGGGTCCAATGGGCATTTTATGTTTCGAAGAACCTCATATTCCCAACTTCATCTTGTAGGTTCCATTCCGAGTTAGTTTTGGGGAAGGCATACCATCCAGTAAATGAAGTAAGGTATGGAAAACCCACCATTTGCAGATCATGTTCCAAGGGAAAAACGTTGATTTCCATAGTTAGTTTTCAGGAATGTATAATTCTATACACCAATGATTCTTTAGTGTTCTGTGTTAGTTTCCACAATGTCCATATCTATGTTAGTTTTCTATGTAAGTTTCCATAAATCATCATAAATCTATATATATACCCTCTGGTTATTTCACATAGCCATGGAAGCCATGGCCCATAGAAATGGATGGTTTACCTATTAAAAATGGTGATTTTTCATGGCAAACTGTTAGTCATAACCAGATGGTACAATGGCTTTTAATGGGATATATTTGGGATATACTTGGGAGATGGGTTAACCCTCTGGTTATGTCAAAATAGCTATTGACAATGGCCATAGAAATGTGTTCTATCTATTTGTTTCCAAGGGAAAACCATGGATCTCCCCGAAAACCACCCATTCAGCTCTACGTTCACTGTCCGAGATGCGCTCACAGACCGCCACCATCTGATCCTCGGGTAAGGGTGGCTGAGGTGCGTGGATCAGCCTGATTTGGAGTTGCTATCCCAATCTCAAGTACATCCTGGGAGAATTCATTCTTGAATGATGAACATATAACAATGGCACCCTCTGGTAAACATACAAAAAACCATAGGAAAACCAGGGGAAAATGATGGAAAATGGAGGTTTACCCTCTGGTAAACGTTCACATCACGAACTGGAAAATCACCATGCTATTAATGGGAAAACTCACTATTTCGACTGGGACATTTTCAAGTTCGCAAACTGTTTGTTTACCATTTTTGAATGATGACTGGTTGGTGGTGCAATAACCATCTTGAAAAATATGAGTCAATGGGAAGGATGACATCCCATATATGAAATGGAAAATAAAAATGTTTGAAACCACCAACCAGATGAAGATCATATGAAAACATGGGACTTTCATGGAAATATAACGATCGAATATGATCAAATATGCAAGTTTGTTCCCCAGTTTGGGACACCTATTTTTTTAATTCACTCAAATCTCATTATTGGGTTTTATGATAGATATCTATATATATATATAGATATGTCGAGCTAGTGAATGGGGTTGAAAAAAACAAACTCACATAACTGGGAGGGGCACCACATTGTGGGTAGCAACTCGGTTTCGGGTAGTTTGTCCTTCGAGTCAACAAGGGCGTGTCTCGATCGATCCGAAAACATGTGTACAATGAGGGACCAAGTCACCATGGGTTTCAATACTAACATGGTCTAGCCTCTGGTAAACCAACAGTTTGCTATTGAAAATTGCTATAGAAATAGTTGATTTACCCATTAAAATTGGTGATTTTCCATCGTTTTTTGTAGCTCTGCCACGAGGGTATTTGGGGTTGGATGATTTCGTGGAACCCCTATGACTTAGCCATCAGCAGTCCCCATAAATTCATCTTGTGGCCACTCTTGGAACCGCCAACAACACATAAAAAAACGAAGTCAGCCGTCTAATCCCAACTTTTTCAACTTTCTCATCGATGTCCATGCTCAAACTCTAACCTCCAAATCAATCCAAATCACAAAAACACTAATAATCCAAAACCTCCATCTCACTATAGATTTCCTAATGGTCAGAATCCAAATCATTTGTCACTGCCTGAAATCAAAGGTGATCTCGGAGAGATTCCCCTTACTTGGTGGTTCACCCCCACTTAGTAAGTAGGTGAAAAACCCCTGGTTATAACTGGGCTAAGTAGGGGCAAGGTTCACTTATAACTCGGGTTGTAATCCACTTACTAACTGGGATAAACCACCAAGTACCTTCCCGGTCGCCCGCAACCCGTGGCGTTTGATGGCGAGGTACCGGCTCGGTCTTTGCCATCTGTCGAACCTCAGCTGGGGTTTTCCCAGTCGCCCTTCCATGGTTGTCACGGGAGGATCTTTCATCCTTCCATTATAGAAACATCAATAAAGACTCACAATTATAAAATCAATGAACATGTTTAAAAGTGGATTTTTAATCATTGGTTTAGAATCACAATTTTAGAACAACAACATCGTTGGTTTTTAAGTCACATGTTTTAAAACATAGTGGATTTATATTGAACATGGATTGAAATCAATGAAACATGACATGAAACGAGAGACTGGTTTTGAATGGTTCTGACCTGGTCCAAGGATGCTCACCTGGAACATGCCGGGCCTAGCTTGATTGAATTGATAAATCTGAGTTGGTTTGGTCAAAGAAAAGGGATATCCAAAATTGAATTCTCTGAATATTCCTATTCCTGGACATGTAAAATGTAAAGTGCCATCTGAATTGAATTGGTAAAAAAAACATGACTCTATATACAGGAAGGGGCCTGCCAGAGGTTTGTGATCCCATCTTGTTCGGTATATCCACCATAAACCCACCAATTAGCCTAGTTGTGAACCAATTGACCTATCCGCCAAGGTTTCCGCAGATGGTTGGTTAAGCCTCATTACTCCTTCCTTTATATCCCATTATGTGCCTTTTATATTTCCCTTTTGCTGTGCAAACATGAAGATTGGACATGCATAGAACCAACCATTCGCCTGCGAATCTGAATTGGGCACACTGCCACTCAAGCCACGATTTTTCGGACGATGAAAACCAAGATCGGGCATCCAAATGTGGCTCCAAACGTGGCTCCGATGGATCCAGTCACTGCGAATCCGGTCATGTCGCAATGCGCTTGCCGTGCAAAAACTCTTCGGCAACCTGGAAAAATCCACCAAACACGACTTGGCTGCCCCCTTTGTCACGGGGTTTGCTGCAAGAGAAGCACCACAAAACACAGCACAGCAGTACTGTACAGTATACAACTGCCGGCGACATGAAAAAATGCAGAAATAACCAGCAATCATGCGGCGATGGCAAACAATATTGGTTTGTCTGAAAATATGGTACCGCTATGTGCACTGGTTCATCATGTTTTTCCGAATTAGATTGCTATTTGGGGTGCAACTCCGCTATTTTCAGACACCGCAAAAACCATCATTCATTGATTGCATCCCTACTTTTGTTTCAGGTTAATACCCATTTTGGCAGGTTTCATCCTCCATTTCCCACATTTGGTACCGATATTTGACACGATTTACCGTGCTTCTTAGTACAACATACCTGGAATATACCTGGGATCTTCGACTTTCTGCATATAGCTAAAGAGCAGGTATCTTCAAAGTTCATTGGGCTGGTTGAATCAATATTGGATCCCATGTTGTTCATTCCTTCTTGAGTTTCTACAAATCATATCAAACAATGTTTCACATATTATACCATCATATATTATATTCGTAAACCCGTACAACATATAGGCAAAATCTGATAATTCACTAACCTGAAATAAGGCTATATTGGGATATGTAATTCCCCTTACTAACCATGATTCCAGTGAGGTCACGACGTGAGGTCACGCTAATTTACCCACATAAACATCAATCTTTGTTGGGTAGTTAACCTCAATATAACCCAGATTTGCACAACCAATATAAAACCACATAAACATCCACACAATAACCATACAACATATTATATCACAGCATAAACCCATATGTAAACAAAACACGTAATGGTTGGTGGGTGGTTAACCCCTGGTCAATCTCTGGTACTCCCCCAAAAATGTCATCTTTTGCTAGTAATAGTGAGTAAAAACTATTATTGACAATAACCCGACTATTACCGTATTACTATTAGTCAATCAACCATTATTACTATTGACCCAATTGGCAGTGATTATTGTTACTAATAGCCCAACTATCAACAAAGCTTTCACTACTATTGGAAGAAATATTATAACACACTTGGGGGTGTTATATACATGATTACTAATAACCACTATTACTATTGATAAGCCAACTATTAATACTGATAACCTTCCAGCCGTCGCTAATAATAATAATAATTGTTAATACAACTATTATTAATAATAATTACTGTTATCATTGGGATTACTATGTTTTCTTACAAATTGGGATTAACGCTTGGGGGGATTACTATTAACCTTCCATTGTGGTGAATTCCTCCAATTCTTTCAGTTAATCAACCATAATTACTACTGTATTAACCTAATTGGGAGTGATTATGATTACTAAAAACCAAACTATATTAACAGTAATCACTATTACTCCTAATAACCCAGTTAATCACTAGATTAGGAATTAATGATATTAAGTTCAGATAAAAATCCCATTAACATCCCATCTTTCTTGGTTTCTTAACCTCATCCTAGTATATTCCTAATATATTCACCATTATTCACTATTAACCATTACATTCCCTATATTAACAATAATCACCATTAACTATTCCTAATGACCGAGTTAATCACTAGATTAGTAATGATATTAGTCAGTTGGGATTATTATTCTCAATCTATGGAAACCTAATCCATTCATGTTCCAAACCACCAACCAGTGATACACTTATTGTGATTATGGTTGATTGATTGTGATTACTAATGATTACTATCACTATATGTATATATATATTGCCCCAATCTAGTGATTAACTGGGTAAATCTAGTGATTCATAAATTGCCCCAATAATCACTATATGTATATATATTGCCACTAATTAGTGATTTATATATCATATCCCCCCAAAATTGCCCCAATTTCTGCTCCTTTCATCCCTTCATCCAGCTCCACCCGTCTCCCCCGTGGGACGTCGTCGTCTCGAACCGTGGCACGTTGGCGAACTGATCCACCAGGGTGATGCGACTCTGCAGCGAGATGACGCGTTCGTCTCCCTCGCCCGCGGCCTGACATGGTGCAATTCAGTGCAAGGTGCTGGCCATCCAAGGCCTGGGGAAGTGGTTGCCATGAATGTTGCTTTAATTAACACTTACTAATTAGGAGTTAGCACTAGTAATTATGAATGTTATATTAGGAATAATTAATTAAGGAGTTAATGGTAATTCACCAAAGTAATATGGCCCATTGAAAATATGGCACATAGAAATAGTGGATTTACCTATTAAAAATGGTGATTAATGGTAATAAGCAGTTAATGGTAATATGATTAGTTACCCTCTGGTAATTTAAGATAACTATGGGAAATCACAATTTTTCATGGGAAATTTCACTATAAATGGTGATGTTCCATAGTTATCTGGTTGGTGGTGCAATAACCATCTTGAAAAATATGACTTCGTCAATGGGAAGGATGACATCCCATATATGAAATGGAAAAGAAACAATGATTGAAACCACCAACCAGTAATGGCAATAATTAGTTAATGGTAGTAATTAGACTAATTAGAATGTTACAAAATATTTACCACGTAATGTTACAAATTCTTGGGTGTTACCAATTATTGGCTTGGTATAGGCCATTACTTGTTATCAGTTATATATTCATAATTATACAGTTATATTCCAAGTAATGTCACAAAATGGAATATAACTAATTATGAATATATAATACTTGGCTTTATGAAGTGGCTAATACCTGGGGAAGTGTTGAATATAGTAATAAAATGAATATTACTAAGCACTCCAACTCTAATAACATATTATAAGCACTATTACCCAGTAATGGTTAAATAGGAATGGTTATAATAGTTATTAGGAAAAATATTTGTATACTTTCAACCCCCAAAAAAAGGACCGGGTTTGGTCATGGTTGGGCTTTGATACCATTTAAATCTCCATGTTCTATCACTATCATTTTCTGGGATTCTTCAAAAAAATCGTGTACCAAATCCTATATTCTCAATCCACTCCATACATTTCCCTCTCTTTCAGCCCAGCCATGGCGACTTGTCCCGGGTGGAAAAACGCCCAGCCTTGGTCATGTACTTCAAAGCTTCTTTCAGAGCTCCACCTGCCTGAGTCATCCGATAGCCACGTGGCGCTTTGCCGAATTGCCAGGCTCCGAGGTTTCCATAGCCATGGGGGTACCCCAAAATCCCAGATGCTCCATGGTGCTGGTATATTTACCTACATAACTGGGTGATTTTGTTCGGGCAAATGTTGGTAAATATTCCATACATGGAGCATATGGGAATGGATGGTGAAAACAATGGAAAGCCATACTAAAATGGATGAGAACTGGGAGTACCCCCATTTCAGGAAACACATTTTTTTCTGTGAAGGTTGGTTTAGTGAAAAACACCCATGAATACTAGATCGATATATTATCTACGTACTATAAACAATAGTTGACCTAGTTTAGGGATTCACTAGAGATTCTTTTGGTGGGTATAATGTAATCTATGAGATGAGTTAGATGTGATGTAACTGTCACCAGGGACTTAAACATCCAACATTGGGTAAAATGGCATGTAAAAAAATCTCAAATTTGGAGACTTCGACTGAGTGTTTGCAGCTGAAGTATCAAGAAGAGATTCAAATGATGTGAATGGTTTGGCTTGATGACAGACATGTCAACACTCAAGGTTTTATGATGTTGTCCTTGCTTGGTTGCGAACAACTGAGGCTTCTACACCGCCTTTTCGAACAATCAGCAGGAACTTGGGATATCTATGGAACCCACAAGATTCCTCGTTTTCTTCACCAGATAGCAGTTTTTGTTGATCAAACCATTGGTCCATGGTAGAAACCCTCCATCAGTTCCGCCCGTTGCTCCGCCTTGTCATAGTCCCGATACTCGTCGATTTCCACTTGTGCGCAGGCATCATAGAAAGCGGCGAGTTTGTCGAAGGCTTTGGCTTTGCCTCGAGGCGAACGGGCGGAAGGGGTGGTTGGGTCCAGCATGGTACAAATGTGGTGCCCCAAAGTTGTAAAATTCTTCATAAACCTAATTAAAATGGTCCAGACCTAGATTTCCAGACTACTAGCGAAGGGTTTAAGTCACATCAGTTGGGCAGAAGTCACATCAACCCCATGTAACAGCGAGTTGGAAGAAAGTCACATCAACTGGGCAAAAGTCACATCAAAATATCAAAATCCCAATGGCACACCGGCTTTCAAGGAATGCTGTTATATCTCCAAAAATGAAGAAAACATTGCGCACACTGAGGTATTCACATATGTTTAAACTATGTTTTCAAAGGATATATTTAGGAATCACCATGGCACACGGCCTCCCAGATCTTTAACTTTGTTTCCTAACAAACATAGATTTCCATGTAATAGCTATGGGCAACATGATCATATCAACAACGTTAAAATCTGAAAACCCAGTGGCACACCGCTGTCAACATCCGCTTCCGCTTGAATGTTTCATAAGTTCTGCCTTCTGTAAACATTCCCTCTCTCTGCTGGCGTCTCCCGCCCGTATCTCAGCCAGCAGCAGGCAGCAGCAGCAGCAGCAGCAGCAGCAGGAGGCAGCAGCAGGAGGCAGCAGCAGCAGCAGCAGGAGGCAGCAGCAGGAGGCAGCAGCAGCAGCAGAAGGAAGCCGCAGCCAGCAGCAGCAGCAGGAGGCAGCAGCAACAGCAGCAGGAGGCAGCAGCAAGCAGCAGCAGCAACAGCAGCAGCAGCAGCAGCAGCAGGAGGCAGCAGCAAGGAGCAGCAAGCAAGCAGCAAGCAAGCAGAAAGCAAGCAGAAAGCAGCAACCAGCGTTTGCCCCGTTGAAAGAATAATGAAATATAATATAAGTTTTATAAATCAACGCAATACAAAAATTGAACTTTTTCTAGGCGCACGGCCCCAAAACAATGAAATCGTCCAATTACTAAAAGTTATGGTGATGCCAAACTTGAACTTTTTCCAGGCGCACGGCCTCCCGATACAACTTCTACGAGCTGATATGACTTAACGCTAGGGCTAGTAGGGTCAAATAGAATCATGTCAACAAAACATTGCGCACAGCGATGAAAAAGTGTTCGAATCAATAGCCCATCAAATAAAGAACTATCAAAATCTATACGAAACACTGCGCGCACGCAGGTGTGATACGACTTCAGGTCGATTGATACGACTTAAGCCTAGTGGTAGTAGGATGTACAATTTGAACACATCACTTGATTTTTTAATTGCCTGCTTTCCCCGAAGGAAAGAAACCCTACAACTCCACATCAGAACTGTATACCATGGCCCATCCTGGGTTCCACATTCTGACTGATGGGGCCGTATACTCATCATCAACGACACCCGAGATACAACGAGTGGAAAACGGCTAGATACATAGGTGTGAAACTACCATTTGTTCCAAAAAAGTGGCAAACAATTACCAGTCATGGGTTGGCACAAGCCCTTCCGCTAGTTCAATATATCTATGATAAACAACCCTAAAAACCCTCTGGTTGTTGAACGTAGCTATGGGAAAGCACCATGAACATAACAGGCAAATCCTATCTCATTTTTATCATCGAACTAAATAGGCCATCTGACCATATGTTAGATAACCAGAGGGTAAAGCCTCATGTTTTCCATGGTTAAACCATATTAAACCATGATTAAACCATCATTTTTGATGGTTAAACCCGCCATTTTTGAAGGCTTTTTTGGAGATCATCCATCATGACCTTCCCCGCGATCCAGGCGGCTGTAGAACTGGATGATGTTCTTCATGATTTCCTCAGAGGAAATCGGGGCTTGGCGGTTTCAACCCATCCCATTTGGGCACATACAGATTTTGCTTTGTTTTATTACTTGGTTAATCTGGATTATTACTATGTTTATTGTTATGCTGTATATTGTGATGATATAATATAATATAATGTAGAAATATAATATATATATATATGGTTTATCCAAATTGTTTATCTGTTACTTCTATTCATTCTTTCGTTCAGTTGGGATCATTGACCCGGGTAGGATGCAACATGCAACACACCTGCAAGTATCCCTTGACCAAAACAGGACCGGAGGATCCAAAATTTTGAAGCTTTGGACCATCCGTTTTCTTTTCTGGGTCTATGATCAACATCAAATATGATTTAGGTTAGGATTATCATGGCTGTTTCCAGCTACAAGCCCGAAAACAATGATTAACTAGCTCAGTTGACCTTGATAAGGTTAGGATTTCAATCTTGCATGTCTGTTCATTTTTTGATATGCAGTCACTGGACAAATATCCATCTTTCCGAGTTCCGCGGATTCAGTATGCATCCCAAAACTATCCGTAAAGTGGCACCATCATTCTAAAACCACTAGATCCACTGAAAGGGAATGGAAAACCCCTTGGATGCCAAGTTGGTTCACTTTCGACCATTTTTGGAACGAAAAATCCCGCAGTGACCATATGCTGAGGTCGACCACGAAGGTCGCTGCAAGGGTTGACAACGGTGAAAATCATCACCTCCCTAATATATCTAAACAATCCAAAACGGATATTTATAAGTGCAGTATAGTGCAGTCATCCCGGAGGAGATAGAAATATTGGTGAAATATGGAAATGTCCAACCATCCTCACTCAAATGCGAAGATCTTTGAACATGTCATATTTTATCTGCTTCAGGATGATTATAAACATACACAAATCCATATGAATCCATATAAATCCCCATAAAATCTCCATAAAAACCCTATAATTATAAATTCCATATAAATCCCACATATTTTCCGAAAACTCAGCAGATTTCTCACCAGCTCCACGGGACGGGATCATTGTGCCAATCCAAGCTTTGCCTTGGCCCATCTTAGATCGAAGATCACTACCCTCTGGTAAACTAGGGTGATCAATAGGTTGATTGGTAGAGTTCGGTGAACTCTATGATCTATATTAAATTACTTTGTGGGGTTTCTAAACCAACCTATAACTGGGGAGTCCCACGAGAAACAAAATGGCGTACTTAGATTGGACTTGGGATAAATGAATGGGTTTTGGAACTGGCAGGAAAAAAACTGGCTAAGCAGTGGAATATCAACCAGTCACTAACAACTAAAAAAACACGACCCATCTAAGTATGGTTTACGGTCATCCCAGCATCAGCAGGGATTCCTTCCAATGGCTGCATGAACCCTGATTGATATAGGATTGATATCCACCCAATATGGGTATGTAATCTATGTTTTGACCATTTCACATATCTGCATATTCACACAACTGGGGGGCACCACCCTGTGGGGATTCACTGAAACCGCCAGATAGTCTGAGCTAAACACAGCCAGATAATCATGTCAAAATAAACATCTCAAATGCTGATGACAAGTTTGAATGCCTTCTTTAGCATTCTGAATGGTGATTTCAATGAAGAATCCATTGGTCGAAATCATCTGTACAAGGAATAAGAGACATTTTTCCAAAGGTATCTCCAATGGATTGCTTTAGTTGGGCAGATCTTAACCAGAGACAATCGTTTTTCACACCCAAATATGGGAGGCCCCGTAAATATTCCGATCATCCAATGGTGGGATATCTGCGACCACCAATCGTATGTGGCTACAACTACCAAGCGTTTGTTTGTTTATTGATTGGTAAAGACCCTATATATATATAGCAATCTCCATGCATACTAAGTTAAGACCCCATGATACTGTGTGCAAATATAGCACACCAAAAAGTCCGCAATCATGCCTACACATTTTGGTCGGGAAACGGCAGTTTGCGCTAAGTCACCAACAAACTCTGAGAGGACAGGAGACCTCCTGGAATAGGATTGGCCAAATATATAATAAATAGATCTTCAAAGACGTTTCCTGTGCTTCCCTTCACAATCCAGTGGATGCCTTTTCTGCCGAGCGAGTACATGCATCACAACAACCATTGGGCCCTAGGCCAACACCCAGCTGCGTGTGCCACAGAATTCAGGTCATGTACCGCTTCTTGAACTTTTCATCCGTGAGGGTCATTGCACCAGCCAGCTTGGACGTTTGATTGCAAAGTGCCAAAATCGTCAGGCGTTCATCCAGGCGTTTGTATCTGTAGTGAAAGATGGGCGAGAAGGTAGCTATTTGCTGAGCCACCGCTTTTCGTGTCAGAAATGAATGCATCAAATCAATTTTTTTCTTCAAGTTGTTTTCTAAACTCAATCCCAGCATCTGAGGAGAAGATGCCACTGCTTTGGCAACTTGTGTCTTGTTGAGACCCACCTCCACAAGCCATCGAATCTTAAAATTCAGATTGGTCCTGACACTGCAGCACAATATTTGCGGGAAAGCAGCCACTGCCTTTGCAACTTGACTCTCGGTCAGACCCAAGTCCAGCAACCACTGCACAGTGGGTTTCAAGTTCTGCTGGACGCTATAGCCAAGAATGCCAGAGTGAGTTGCCACTGCCTTCGCAACTTGGCTCTTGGTCAGACCCAAGTCCAACAACCACTGCACAGTGGGTTTCAAGTTCTGCTGGACGCTATAGCCAAGAATTTGAGGACGAGAGGCCACTGCCTTTGCAATTTGCCTCTTGGTCAGACCCAAGTCCAACAACCACTGCACAGTGGGTTTCAAGTTCTGTTCAATGCTAAGGCCGAGGACTGGAGGAAAAGTGGCCACTGCTTTTGCAACTTGCCTCTTGGTCAGACCCAAGTCCAACAACCACTGCACAGTGGATTTCAAGTTCTGCTGGACGCTATAGCCAAGAATTTGAGGACGAGAGGCCACTGCCTTTGCAACTTGCCTCTTGGTCAGACCCAAGTCCAGCAACCACTGCACAGTGGGTTTCAAGTTCTGTTCAATGCTAAGGCCGAGGACTGGAGGAAAAGTGGCCACTGCCTTTGCAACTTGACTCTCGGTCAGACCCAAGTCCAGCAACCACTGCACAGAGGGTTTCAAATTCTGCTGGACGCTATAGCAAAGAATGCCAGAGTGAGTTGCCACTGCCTTTGCAACTTGGCTCTTGGTCAGACCCAAGTCCAACAACCACTGCACAGTGGGTTTCAAGTTCTGCTGGACGCTATAGCCAAGAATGCAACAGTTAGTTGCCACTGCCTTCGCAACTTGGCTCTTGGTCAGACCCAAGTCCAACAACCACTGCACAGTGGGTTTCAAGTTCTGTTCAATGCTAAGGCCGAGGACTGGAGGAAAAGTGGCCACTGCTTTTGCAACTTGCCTCTTGGTCAGACCCAAGTCCAACAACCACTGCACAGTGGGTTTCAAGTTCTGTTCAATGCTAAGGCCGAGGACTGGACAAAAAGTGGCCACTGCCTTTGCAACTTGGCTCTTGCTCAGACCCAAGTCCACAATCCACCTGAACTTTGGTTTCAGGCTCCCTTCTATGTTTTGGCCGCAAAAACATGTTCTCAGTTTCATCGCCTCAATGCTCTGAGCACTGAATCCCTCAGCCCGCAGAAAGCAGATAAGCTCTTCACTGCTGCTGCCATGTATTTGGTCTATTGCTTCCTTTGCAAAATGCCAGCCGCTCTCAGAGAGGGTCCAGAGTTCTTGGTTTATCTTTCCCCGAACCTGCTTCATGGCGCATGGACGAAGAACATCTACTAGACCAGCTGAAATCTGCATCAAGGCACTTTTCAAAGTTTCCAATAGTGATGTCCCATGACCTTGCCTCCAGGTATCTACTTTGACCCAAAGAACATTCTCCTTCAGCGGTCTTCTCTGTGTGTGACTAATGCGAACCACAAAAGATCCCTTTGGAGCGTAAGTCAACAGGGCAGCGTTCTTCCTCCTGTCCATCACCATACCTTTCTTCTCTTGATGCCTCCAGAATCCATCATACTCCACAAACAGCGCGGCATCCTTCTCTTTGAGGATCCCAAATGCCGCCAAATCGGGCTCCAAAGCATGTCCGCCCCAGCCGTCTGGCGACGGAAAGCTCCGGAACAACTCCTGGATCTCCAAGTTTGGCATCAGAATCGCCGCCAGCTGGGACAACAGCTCCGCTTCAGCCACGCTGTCCACCCTGCCTCGTGCCCATCCTTTCCGCCACCACTCGGGTGCTACATAGGCTGCTGGAGGTACCAGAAGCACAAGGCAGAGGCTAATGAACCCATGACTCACATTCCGCCTTTGCCACATGTGGTACTGGGGTGCGAGGTATTTACTTGGAGACAAGAGTTCAAGAGTTGGGCCAGAGCGACCGAGGATAGGATGAAATAAAAAGCACGCAGCTCGTTCCAAACCATTTTTTGATTCAGACCTGTGATGTCTACGTGATCTCCAAGCATTTAATTATTTGCAATAAGTGTGTGTGGGGATATACCCCACCAAATGTATCGCAGTTCCTCAACTGCAATCCGATCTCATTTCCACTACTGTTGGAGTAAGGTCCCAGCCCAATTTTCAGTCGAATTGCACAGCATGGTGTCACCGAAAAAAAATCGCCTAGCGATTCACCACCAACCGCGCCCAGTGGCAGATAGTTTCCCGCCAAGATGTAGATCTCCGGCTGTCGCGCGGTGCCGGCGAAGAAGATGATCTTCTCCTTGGGCGTGGCGCGTGGCGCGGGGAGTTGGAATGAAGCGAACTGTTTTTTTGGTGCCGGGATATTCAAAAAAAATAACGCTATGATAAAATGTGTCAGCCATAATCACTGTGACTTTAGGCGTATCATTATGGGTTACTATAATTCTGGCATTATAATATCATTTTGTCAATGACATGTTGTAAACTTATGGTTAAGAAAGCATTGTCAAATTTCTTAATTAATAATTTCATAATGTAGTTTCCAAATCATCAGGATAAACTAACCACTGATATCCAAAAAAACAAACTAGACTGACTAAGTATTAGTAGAGCCAAGTATTAGAACAACTATGTGGATGAACTAACTATTAATAAAATCAACTATATAAATACTAGCAAATCTAAGGTGAACCATTCAAATATCATGCTCATTATGTATATAAATGTTTGCTATGGTAAATACTAGTGTCACACAACAGTAAACAGTGTATTGACGTTGTTCATAAACTCACTGAATACGAGCAAAAACTATCTGTGACTTTTGGTTCTAGCCTTGAATTTAAGTGGGACTTGATCGTGGTAAGTAAACTATCCTGATAAATTGATTAATGTAAATATACATACATACAGTTACATACATATGTTCGGAGAAATGGCTTGTGCATGTTTGTACCCATTCTTCTGGCATTTGTGAACGTCAAGTGGTTTGGAAGCGGAAACATCCCCATCTCAAGGAGACCACCGCAGATTTCGCTGGTTCAACCCCCCCCAGTAGTGCTGGTAGAAATGGTTAGATCACCTGGTTGGTGGTATACCTACCCCTCTGAATCATATGAATTCGTCAGTTGGGATGATGAAATTCCCAACATATGGGAAAAAAACATGTTCCAAACCACCAACCATTTTGATCATTCCATCCACATTTTTTGCTGGTTGAATTGCTGTTTTTCGATGGCACACTCTCTAATGTGGTCCCAATCATTTCCACTTTCCTCGGCCGGGTCTTAGGAACATTCAAACCACCAGTCATGTGGGGTTTCAACATGAAAGACCGGGGATTGGCAAATTACCCCAGTAAAACGATATTCAAACAACCTTTGGGGTCTCTAAAAAATGAGGGGTATATACCACTAAATTCCATGGTTCATCATATTTTTTCCCATTACACTAGTCCATTTTGGCGCATAGCTCATTTTCAAGCACACCAAAAACTCTTCTACATTGGTGAAATCCATGATTTTTCTTGGTTAAGTCATGTCAAATCAATATAAAAACCCCTCCTATATCATCATGTATATAGATTGTTCGTAGTTCAGTCCCTATTTTCAGTGGTTCAATCCCCATAAAATGACCCTTGAAATCTCCATACAAATCTACAAATGCGGCCGAGCAGCGGTGTCGTTGCTGTTCAGCAAACTCTTCATGGCCTTCAACTTGTCACCGGCCTGCCGAGATTCTGCCCTGGGAGATCTGAGGAATTTGAAGATGAGGAATTTACGTTCCCAGAAATCAATGTAGGGAAAATCTACAGGAAACCCCTGTGTTTGATGGTAGAAACCAGGCTTTCCTGTAGATTTTCCCTTGAACCAATGATTAGTTTCACTTTATATTGGAATATATAAGACTTACATGGAATTACAATTATATGTAATTACTATTTGAAGATGGACTATACTATATTTACTGATTACTATGACTAGATATTCATTGTATGTTTAATTCAGTTGCTCATCATATTATATATGATATAGTTCCCTAACTATACTCTATGATATAAGATCGGAACCCCATTAATATATTAATGATAAGTTAGATGTATCATATTTGCTTGGACTACACCGAGAATATAATGGGGAAACCAATGATAGTGATATTTCAATGATATTTCAATGGATTGGTTTGCTTGGGAACATCTACACCGCAAACCTGCTGCTGTTTACCAAAACAACATAGGTCAAACTTTCCTGCAACTTTTCCAACCAATTCTGGGACTTGTTTCGCTGATGTGTTTACCCCTCTGGTAAACTATTAGTCTGCTATTGAAAATGGACAACCGTTTATAGTTGATTTACCTATAAAAAAAATGTGATTTTCCATAGCTATGTTAGTTTACCAGAGGGTAATTTACAAAATGTGGACTATTCAAAGGGAATAGAAAAGGAACCTAGATTCTTGCGTGAATTCACCTATTCCAGGCCTATGTCCTATGTAACACTCTATCGATCACCTCGAAAGGAACGCGATCCAAGCAGTTTCGTCACTGTGTGCTAGCCAATCCATGGTTACAAGTAGTTGGGCGCTGGTGGTTTGACATAGTTCCTTCTATGCGGTTTTAACATCAGAACCTTGGATTCATTTTGTAATTTCTCTTCATTTTTGGAAATCATCAAAGACTTGAGCCTTTCTCAACCATGGGTCCAATGGTTTATCAAATCCTATTTTTTATTGACGAAATCCGTCTTGTTTGGTGGTCAAACCACCAGAAGAAAGTTTTGGAGATGGTTCTGAGTCAAATTGAAATGGTCCAGGTCCATCTTCATATACACACTTGACATGGGCATGTCTAAGCCATATGCATTCTACTTGCGCCACAACGGAAAAAAAAAACATACATCGAAATTAAATGCCAATAGCCAACGTTCTATCTAAATCTATATAACCTGTTCTAACTTCTAATCATCCACGTCTTCTCCAAGTCATTTCTACAAGAAGTTACCTTCCAGTAAACTAGCATAGCTATAGAAAATCCACCATTTACAAATGATTTTCTTATCATAAATGCTGATTTTCCATAGCTATATGTTGGTTTACTGGAGGGTAACCACAGTTTTCAACCCTTCCCAACCAACTCTTGAGACATCCGCCGTTGAACAACTCCGCCTGTGTGAACTTTTTGCAGGCCAACTGGAAGGAGCCTAGGCGGAGCGCAAGGAGTCACCGCCAAGTATATATTATACATTTAAATATCATGTACATTGTATATACAACATATTTTGATATTGGGCCATGTATATCATGTACAGCATGTCAAATATAGACTATGTCTGTCAAAATATGTATATACAACAGTATTCATCTCTATATATAATTATATATACACATATTTGACATATTTTGACAGACATAATCTAACAGTATATGTATGTGTATGTGATTATATAGGTTTAAAATGGTTTAAACACCTTACTTATTATGGGGAGTTAATATGGTCAACCTGTGAACCCCTCAATTAACAGCAGGCGGCTGCTTCGAGATGCAGCTTTGCGCTTCCCCTTCTGACAGCTGTCAACCTCCTTGGCTCAGAGCACGTGATGTGGGTGTATCGGAGGCATCCGAAGGCCATCATCGATGCTAAACGCACCCAGGCTATCAGGTGCCCCTGTGGTGTGCCAGCGCCGGCTGAGTCGATGCTGAGGTGCATATCCCCGTGCCATTGCAGGGCGGTCACTGTCTAGGAGACCTGCCAGATAATGGTTGGAAGATTAGTATCCACTAAAAATGGGTGATTTTCAGGGTCTATGTTAATTTACCAGAGGGTACAGTATATAGTATCAAAATCAACTGGCTGATTATGGGGAAGTAGGTTTGGTCAACCCCTCTATTCATCAACACATCACTAGGTAGGACAAGGACATGTGCACGCAATGAACCCAGGACACTCAGCCAATCGAGCGCCAATGGAGTCTGATTCCAATGTTGAATGAGCCAAGTATGGAACTTCATCAAGACAGAATCTTAGATACCGGATAGCTGTCAAACAATTCTAAGTATGGAGCAAATTGGGTCTTCATCAAAAATTTTTTTTTTTAGCCGGTTCGATCTGGTTAGGCCGAATTTACAGTGAATTTACCATCTCAAAAGATCAATACGTACTAGCTCGTATCTAACCAGTCGGTCGACCCAGAAGAGAAGCTATGAAAAATGTGCATTGCATCAGTGACCATTGAAGGAGTTCATCAACCAAGTATTGGAATTTAAGCAGCCTCAAACATGGCATCTTATCAAGAACAACTACAGGACATGTATTGAAATGGATGCCATATCTGATGCCATTGTATTGATATTGATAAATATTGTCCTGATACCAGATCTTATCATCCCACATGTATTGAAACACGTACAAAATGACATTGTTGGATCTAGCCATTCTTGAGTTTCAAGGGAAAAAAGGGACCCGCCAAAGCTATTCACTGCCTGATTCTGCAAAGCTATATACTTACAATTCACCCAACAGTGATCATTATATCTGGTGAGGTCACGATCAATATTCTTTCTGGTTAACGGATTTCCCAGTTTATTGTTGGTCACCCAATATATTGGTAGATTGGATAGTATAATCATATATAATCATTAACCAACCATTAAAAATCAACTTTGTCCCTACAATATCCACATCTTTTGATGGTTAGCACCCCCATTTGAAACAAATACTGTTGAATGTAATCAACCAGCAGGGGTTGGACGCAGCCACTGCTCACTTAGTACCCCGCATCTCAGCCCCATTACTAGTCAAGTAGATATCATTGGATTGGTTTAAGGGAAAAATTACAGGAAACCCCCATATTTAATGGTAAAAACCATGGTTTCCTGTAGATTTTCCCTTAAACCAATCCAATGAAGATAGCCTCTGCTAATCTTTACCATGCAAACTTGGAAAGCCATGATTTTTTCAAGAGGTCAATCATCTACAATTGTTTGCATTTTTTCCGCAGCTAATGTTGTATAGATTCCCAGAGGATACAGTATGATCTTCCTATCTCAGGATACAACGAGTATCCTAACACCATGTTTGACGTAAGCAACCAGGAACAACTGGACCATCCACAGTGCAAAATCTTATATATAGCTGAACTGAATGGAAGAGGATTTGAAATCTCCTCCAGTTATCAAACATGGCGTGCTGGAAAATTCACCGTTATCCGTCCATAAAAAGCCATCGTGATGGAGAATAATTTACAATGTCGGCTATCAAAAAAAACTAGTTACGTGTGAATGGACTCCATAGTGTCCAAAAGTGATACATATAAACTTAACAATATCTTTGGACTTCATCACGTGCTTACTATAGTTGATTTTCCCATTCAAACTCCATTTGGATTTCCCAAATAGCCATGATTCTCTCTCTCTCTCTTTATGGGCACATTGGCATCCTAAGAATGTGGCATTTCAAGTGCCCAGGAACCTTGTTTCCGGCACAGCTTCCCAATCTCCTGACAGGCTGGCCCGCAGGGTTGTCCAGGGTGCATGCAGGAAATCATCTAGCTAGATATGACTGGCTACAAGCCATCCTCAGTGGGATCAAACTATATGTCTTCATGAATTCATGAATTCATGATCCACAACAATCACAGTGGTGCCTCCTCACTCGTAAGTTTGTTTCTAAACCCAATTAACTATAATTAGATATATCTTAATCTAGTACTCAACCCAATCAACTATGGATATATCTTAATCTAGTAAACCCTAGCTATGCTAGCTATAAACCAACTTAGCCAACGGACTGGAGCACCACCTTGCGAAACAAAATAGAGATGTACACTCAGTGTGCCAATGATATTAAATGTACTGGTTGGTGGTTTTAACCGTCAATGGGAAGGATTATCCCATATATTACCATCTGGTTATTTAACATAGCCATAGAAAATGACCATTTTTAATAGGTAAACCGGTAAACCATCTATTTCTATGGGCCATCTATACCATGGCTATGTTAGTCATAACCAGAGGGTATATGTATCATTCTATCCCAATGGTATCTCCAGTATATTCGCTGGTCGCAGCAAGGCTTGGCCCAAGGCTATTCCTAAATATATACCCAGTGGCAAAAGACTAGGAATCCCAAATCTCATTCAACTCTATCCCCATTCACGAATTTCATCACCATTAATGGGAATCTAGTTGATGGTATCTAATAGCTACAATAATCACTATTCCTCAGTCAATCACTATTACCATTCGGTTATTTAACATAGCCATGGAAAGATCCGCCATTTTTAATCGGTAATTATATAAACCATCGATTTCTAAATGGGCCATGGCTTCCATGGCTACGTTAGTCACTAGTCATAACCAGATGGTAGAATTTCTCATTAAATCACTCATTAAATCACTTTTAGATACCATTTATAATAGGTAGACCATCTATACATTAGATACAATCCCCATTACAGTAGATCCCCAATATAAAGTCTCCAGGAGGGCTCCAATCCATCACCCCGCCTGCAAAATCTCGGCCCGATGCGATGGCTCCATGCTGTTCCTGGGCGCAGAGTTATGTTGGTTGGGGACCCTTGGGGCCAACCCGTAGCTATCCCTTAGCTATGGAAAGATCCACCATGCTATGAATGGGTAACTCAACGAACTCAATAGGCCAACCATCTGGTTTAATGGGACTTTTTCTGGTGATTTATGGTGATTTAATGAATTTTAATGGTGATTTTAATGGTGATTTAATGGGATTTACTGGTAATTTAATGGGGTTTACCCTGTGGTTATGACTAACAGTTTGCGAACTTGAACATACCCATAGAGATAGTGGATTTACCCAGCTATAAAATGGTGATTACCCAAAATAGCTAAATCAACACTGAAAAGGACTACCCTACCCTTAGCTGTTGATTACCCTTAGCTGTCGAATACCATCTGGTAAACCATCTGGTAAATAGAATAGCCTCTGGTAAACCTTTACATAACTATGGAAAGATCCACCATGTTGAATGGGTAAATCAACGATTTCTATAGTATATTCATGGGGATGCTAATGGGATATTAGTGGGGATATCAATGGTATGATTAATGGGAAAACCATCAAACAAATTGGGTGCTTGGTTTCATGACTAATCATCTGGTAAATAGAATACCCTCTGGTAAACATACAAAAAAACTATGGAAAGATCCACCATAAACTGAATGGGTAAATCAACGAACTCAATAGGCCTTTTTTTAAATAGCAAACTGTTAAATTACCATCAAAAACGTAAGGATTTTTTCAGCATCAATGAATCAAAGCTTGTTCACCAACCATAGATGTCCATATATGACCACTTCAAAGAGAATTACCCTCTGGTAAACGTTTACATAGCTATGGAAAATCACCATGTTTAATGGGTAAATCCACTATAAATGGGGTATTTTCAATAGCTATGTTAGTCATAACGAGAGGGTATAAAACATGACTAACCAGTGCGATTCTCCTGGGGCCATGTCCATACCAAAACGACCAGAGATTCTCTTACGTCCAGGGTCAGATTTCTTGAGCCAAGTGGGTCCAAAAGAATACTCGACTGGGCACCTTAAGCTTGACCTTGAGCGGATCCTGTGTGCATTTGGGGCTTCCCAATTTGCACCGGTGGGGTTGTTTCCTGCGGTTGAGATACGATATTAAGGCTGACAAGGGAATCCACACGTATAGAGGTCGACCTCGGGCACCTCCGTTGCAGGCTTCATTGCATCGAACGGCCCATAATCCGAGAGCCCCATAGTTCCGCAATGAGGGTTGGAAATCCGAAGAAACTTGTGCTTCACGGTGGTGTTCTTGCCCGCTTTCGTAGGCACAAAACATCCGTTCCAAGCACGGAACAATCACTGCCAACATTGAGACTGTTCTTCCTTGGTCCAAGGCATCATCATTACCATCCCCTGACATTCAATGTAAAGTGGGGCCAGTCAATCCCCCCATTTTTTAGAGAAACCACGAACAAACAACAAACATGTAGTGCTTCAACGTAGTCCCGCGGCTTGAACCCATGCCCAGTATCTTCACTGTAACCCGAGTGATTCATCCTGGTTGGTGGTATACCTACCCGAAAAATACGAAAACTTCGTCAGTTGGGATTATGACATTCCCAATATGATGGGACAAATAATCCATTCATGTTCCAAACCACCAAGCAGCATCTTTTCTGTTCTTGAAGTAGCAACTCAAGAAAAAATCCCATGGGTTCTATCCCAGCATGTGTGAGGTATGGCACTCATCCTCCCATCATCCCCTTGCGACCTGTCCTTCAATCTCGACATCCCCCCTCCCCAATGATGTCGTTTGACAACAAAAACCAGGCTGGTTTAGTATGGTTTGGTATATTACTTACCCTGATGATCTAACATGTGGATAATCAGATTTTGTAATTTGTAATGGTCAAATCACCCAACAGGAACCATCATGTCCTTAGCTAAGTGATGAAACTGTGGCCTGTAAAATGCATGGCCAATCTCAAACATCTACAACTCGTGGGGCACCGTTTACGATAGCTAAGTTGATGAACATAACTCCATTTTCATCCAATTTCACTATGCTTTATGATTAGCACATAACATCTTATAACTATACGTTGTATTCATGGGGTCTATAAACCAAAAACCATCACTGGGGGGCCTACACCCAGTGGCCTTTGTCTCAGTTATCACTTGTTCCGTTTCAAACGCTCACCAGCTCGGATCTGGGCCATGTTGGCTGGGCATCCTGCATTCCAAAAAATCTGGGAAGTCACAACAATAAGCTGGTTAGATAAAGGTATACATATATTACAATTAAACTACAATGTGTAACAAGAAATCTTAGTGCTAAATCATCCATCCAGTGGCTTTCCCAAGAATCGAATCGGTTCTTCTTTAGTATTCAATCTCCATTTTGCGGAAGATAATCAAATGTGGCCATGGAACATCCACCATTTATAGGGGATTTCATACCGGATTTCCCAGCTAGCCACGTTTGATTTACCACAAGGTGCCATTCCACCATTTATCTGACATCAACAATCAACAATCAACAATCAACAGTCAACAATCAACAGTCAATATAACATGTACCCTCTGGTAATTCACATGACTATTGAAAATGGCCATTTATAGCTGATTTACCCATTAGAAATGGTGATTTTACATAGTTATGTTTAGTTTACCAAAGGGTATTTGCCACCTTAAAGATATTTTAACAATCACCATCCCATACAACCAATACCTACAAGGTGGTGCCCCAGTTCGTCAGCTAAGTTGGTTTATAAGTCCAATTTCACTAGGGTTGATTAGGGGGTTATATCTATAGTTAATGGGGATTATAAACCAACTAACATAACTGGGGGGCACCACCTTGTAGAGATTATATAGTGATATTATAATATTATTAGTGAGATTATATAGTTACTATAGTTATGATATTATAATACTACTAGTGATAATATAATCATTGCCAATCTTAGATACCCTGCAATCATTTATAAATGGTTATAATCCCATAAAACTGGTTATGTAGTGATAACTGGTTATTGACCTAGTAATGGTGCATGTAAATCAACCCATCCCCAGCACCCCTCCGTCCCAAGCGTCTTCTCGGGCGTCATCCGCTCCGCCATGTCCTCGGTGATCTGCACGTCGTGCTCCGCGCAGAGCTGCACTGCACGGTCGAACTGCTTGGAGATCGACAGAAGGTGCACCGCCTAGCGCAGTGCCGGGGGGGACCTGCAGTTATGGCCCAACTAATTCAACTAGTACTTATAGATGGGCTTATTAAATATATATATATATACAATAATAGTATTATTATATATATATATATATATGTAACGTTAGTTATAGGAGTTATATAATTCCATTTATAACTGTTAGTTCGGCCATTACTGTGGAAGGAACTTGAAGGTGAAATACTCATAGCAACCACCAAAAAGAGTCAAACAAAAATGGATGGAAAAGTAATAAAACCTACTTCTGTAAAGTTTGAATGAGATGAGACCTCTTTTCAAATGAAGTAGGGACGTAATATTGGAGGTTGAGACCCTCCCAAGAATATCTAGCTTGAATAGGAACAAAATGGAGATTCACCATCTGGTTATTTAACATAGCCATGGAAAATCACCATTTTTAAAAGGTACCATCTGGTTATTTAACATAGCCATGGAAAATCACTTAAAAATGGAGGTTTTAATGGGAAAATCAGGCCATGTTCCATGGCTATGTTAAATAACCAGATGGTAAATCTTGGACACTTTTAAATCTACTGGATGAGGATCGAAACAAGCCCTGGAGGCTAGTAGATCGTCATAGTCCATTGGTGCACAAGCAAGACTTGCATGATTGCCTGCTTGGGCACGAATGGGGGCATCGAGCAGGTTCAACTAACAAAACTGATTGTTGAACCAAAAGTACCCTCTGGTTATGACTAACATAGCTATTGCAAATGGCCATTTATAGTTGATTTACCAATTTAAGATGGTGATTTTCCATAGTTGTGTTAGTTTACCGGAGGGTAAGGTTTGTAAACGGGCTCTATCCTTGAACAAGACGTGTTTTGATCTTGCTCAAAACAACATCCAGTACCACCAATAAAGTGTGGTTGTTGTTTGATATTATGTGTGCGCGCTCTCTCATTTTGTAGGCCGCAGAATAGCATAGAAAATACGGTATGCCAATGTTTCTTGGGGAGACATCATGTCTCTTGCTTACATCACACATGTTTCTTGGCAACCTGGTTAGACCAACATATAAATATATAATGTATATATATATAATGTGTATATATATAATGTGTATATATATATATTGTGTATACACATATATATATACATATATAATGTGTATACATATATATATACACTGTATATATCATATAATGTGTATATATATATATATATCATACTAATATATATATAAAGAAAAGGAAAAACAAACAACACTGTAACACTATAAATAATCATGTATGTATTTAATTATGCATGTGTTTCTCATAGAATGGCATTATGTATATAATGTTGATTGATATATGCAAACATATTGGGCTTTTGGCTTAAGGCGCATCGTCTTGGTATATACATTTGTATACACGTAAGTAAATCAAGATACCATCCAGATCCGGCTGCTGATACCATTCCCCTTTTTTCAATGGACTGAAACCTTGGTTGAGTAGAGGATCTGTTCCAGGGTCTCCCCATCTTACTTGTGCTTAATAGGGAATGAGGGAGTGGTCCACGGGCCATCTATCAATAGTCCCACAACCCCCATTCCCATCCATTCCCTACTAAGGACCAGTAAGCAATAAATGGAGTGTTCTATCTTTATTGCGGAAAATTCGCCTGAAAAAACTTACATCATTTAGATGGGCCTTGGGATTAGTTAACTATTGGGCGATAATCCATCAACAAACCATTACCTTCTGGTAACTTAACAGTTTGCTTTTGAAAATGGCCATCTATAGTTGATTTACCCATCAAAAATGAGGATTTTTCATAGCTACGTTTGTTTACCAGAGGGTAACAATCCATTTAGTATGATTCGTATAATGGTTGACTATCCTCAATACTCTAACACCCAGCCGCACTCCACTTATATTTGGACATGTAAGCATATCATACTATATCATACCCCAGTTGTATATGGGATATCCCCAGTTACATAATTAAGGGGTTTTCAACCACTGACTGGGATGTACATCCAAGTAGCACCCTGCAGCTATAAGCTGGTTTATAAACCATAGAGTAGTAACTATATACCATGATATACCATGATATATCATGATATATCTACCATAGAGCATATTTAACCAAGCTAAACGTGTGTGAACGTTTCGCGATTCTGAACTGCGGCATCACCGTGCGTCACCTTGTCGTGTTGCTCGTGCTGCATGAAGAACTCCGCACACTTGGCCAAGATCGTGGGATCACCTGCGTTGGCGGATGCCCGAAGTTCTTTGAAGGGACTTAATGGGGTTTTGTATGGGGATTCAATGGGATTTAATGGGATAATATTGGGAGAATATTGAAATTCTACTGAGATTCAGAATTTCATGAGAGTTTGATGGATTTTCATGGACTTTAGTGGAATCTAAATGGAATCCCAATGGGGATTCGAACGGGATTTGCTGGTATCAAAACCAACATGTACTGGGGTGAAGCACCAAGAAAACAACCGCTGTTGGAGGAGGCAAACTGAGCCAATGTTTTATTGGATATGTATTCCAAATGTAATATATTCTGGCTAATGATGTATGATATATGTACCCTCTGGTAAACTAACATAGCTATTGAAAATGGCCATTTATAGTGAGTTTTCCCATTAAAAATGGTGATTTTCCATAGCTATGTTAGTTTACCAGAGGGTACAATCTATGTATACATATCCATTACATGTAGATTCCAGTCAGTATACATTGAGCTGATGTATTCCAAAGTGGATGGCTCACATTGGTGGCGTTTTCTTGTCCCTTGGTCAGTTTTCGGGCCTCGAAAACCATCCATTTATAATGACCATCCATCCAGTTAGCATCGATTCCCAACTATGTTATATATTATGATCGTTAATTAGTAGTCCATCTTTTGATAGTTAAAGTATGTTTAAATCCTTATTAATGATGATTAATCATCAATATGTCCATCTTTTGATAGTTAAAGCCCTTAATGATGATTCATCATCTCCCAGGAGTTGAACAGCCACTAGCTGGTCCAGCTATCTCCATCGCTGAGTTCGGCACTCTCCGCATTCAGCTCGTCTGAAATCTTCCGCAGTGCATCAAAGAGCCGGGCGGAGAAGCATAGCCTCGAGAAAGCGGTCCATGGAGTCCATGGATCATTCAGCATTCAGCAAGGGCCAAATCATTTATCATTTAATGGTGTTTAATGGTGATTTAATGGGATTTATGGTGGTTTAATGGAATCTAATGGGATTTACCCTCTGGTTATGTCAAACATAGCTATTGAAAATGGCCATTGAAATAGTGGATTTACCATGATTTACCCATTGAACATGGTGATTTTCCATAGTTTTTTGTTGACGTTTACCAGAGGGTAAGGTTTGGAAGATAACCCAGTAAATTAACAGTTCGACCCTGCCATGGGTCGGGGTTGGAAGATTAGTGAAACCACTAAAGATTGGTGATTTTCAGGGTCTATGTGAATTTACCAGAGGGTAAGGTTTGTAGTAACCCCCAAAAAGATAGAACAAAAAACAGATAGAAAAGTAAAAACCTACGAAAATAATGATAAAGAACTGCTAAATAGCTGATCTATTTGTTATCGGCTTAAGGGGAACATCTGCAGGAAACCCGTATTTTTTTCCTACTAATTATAGCGGTTTCTTATAAATATTCCCATCATCCAAATCTGGTTGGTGGTTGAGCCCTACCCCTCTGAAAAATGATGGAGTTCGTCAGTTGGGATGATGAAATTCCCAACTGTCCAAATTATGTTCCAGTCACCACCAGCCAGATCACCATAACATTCCCATAGTTGTTGGTTTATAGCCTATTAACCACTATTAACCATCACATAGTCCAATCAGAATCATGTTCCACATAAGTGCTTAACCATAAACATGTTCCAAACCACCAACCAGATATATATATATATATCTATATAATTGGAAAATCATCTATAAATGGAACATAGCAACGGAAAATCCACCATCTATAGATGATGTTCCCATCATCCGATTCTATGGTTCCTGGGCTTAACCTCTGGTAATCAAACGTGGCTAGCTGTGAAATTCTCATCAAACATGGAGCTTTGGTTCGGGAAAATCATCGAACTCTGTCTAGTAAACCACTTTCGATTACCCAGGGGTAACCTCTGAAAAATGGAATTTATCACCATTGATTACCCTCTGGTTATGTCAAAATAGCTATTGAAAATTGCCATTTATAGTTGAATTACCAATAAAAAATGGTGATACCGGAGGGTATTCAGAATTAGCAAGAACGTCATCCGACCATCATCCCTTTATGACTATATAGATTCTCTGAAAACGGCATGTACCCCCCACACTCTGGGGTCACAAGGCCCGGAGCTTAAACCCCCAGCGCTTGTGCCAAGTTTTGGGTGCAGAGAGGGAAAGCTAAGTTGGACACAACTCACCACGCTTTCACTGTTGGGTGTTGGGTGTATGGTAGATGCATATATATATATACATATTCATTATATATATATACACATATTTAGATGATTATATGATTATATATATACACGTCAAACTAGTTAATGGGTCTTATCAGCTAATTTCAGGTTTGTAAAACAATGCTCAGCAGCATCTCCCTTGGATTGATGGAAATTTTGACACTGAAAAAAGGATGGGAGCCCCAGTCGATAGCGTAAGCAGTTGACATATTAAAATGGCCTAACTATTATATGTTTATGGTAGATATAACCATGATATAACTATGATATAACGAACTAGTTGATGGGGATTACAAGGCCACAACACATAACTGGGGGGGCACCATCCTGTGCCATCCACACCCACTCCATGAGCTCCATTCTGTTTGATGTCTGATGTTGACCGCCAAATGGTAGGCATTGATACATGTTGATACTGTAGATATCTGTATATCTACTCCATCTACCCCTGCGCAAAATATCATAGTGTCAATCATGATGTCAATCATAGCCTGCAGGACTTATCCCAGCGCAGCCAGAGATTTGTCCTGTCCACATTGTAAAACAAGCAGCTCCAGAGCTCTCTTCTGTTGCCCACTCTTCTGGTACAAGATCACAGCCTGTGCGCGGCGAGTGTCGGGTTATGACTGGGCGGCACCACCTTGTAGGTACCGTTGGGGTCGAGATACTTTATGGGAAGAAGTTGTTTTTCCTCATCTGTAAATATTTTTCGCCACCCTACCGAACCTGTACGGTTCTATGATCTTATATGATCAATAAATTCCGATGCAAATAATCGACTTCAACCAGCCACAATTAGCTGCCCGCAGCATCCGTAATGGCTCATGGACATGGTTCCAATATTGGGATTGCTTGATTTGACTCAAGCTCACCAATATGATGTCACAATATACAATAAAACCATTCTTTGTCACTTGCTCACTTTTTCCCTCCTGGAAAACATCTTTTCTCCCAGGGTTTTGAGTTGGCCAACCGAAGTGGACACCAACCAATTCATAGCTACCGGCTGACGGTCAACTTTCGGGATGAAAAATGTGGATCAGCAGTTGATGTAAACATGCAGGAAACGATTTGTTCACCGCTAAAAACGTCAACATCGCGTGGGAACTCAGATCAAGATTTCTCATCTGTTCCACCTGTTGGACCTTTTTCTCAGGCGGCTGAACCGCAGACTGAGTCTCGCTGACACCACTTTTATCCCCTGGGGGATACAAAATCAATCCCAGATCTGACGTTGTTTCCAAATTTAGGGAATACCATGGAATACCACATTTTCTGGCCATTTTCAAGGGGAAATGCATGGCCAGTCTTGGATACCTGCGCTGACTTTCGTGATCAAAATCAACCCACATTTTACAGGAAAACTTTGCGCCATATTTATGTTAAAATTTTGATGCAAATGTGGCGCAAATATGTTTTTCAAGCATTAGAATTGGATTTGTTTCAGGGCTAAGCAAACCTAGTTCTCCTATGTTCTCCTCTAGATTCCCCAAATGGTGGATTTCGCCTTGGGTAAGCGGTGAATCCCCGAAAAGCACCCTAAAAACCAAATCTCTAACTGGTTGGTGAACCCCTCTGAAAAATATGAAAGTCAGTTGGGATGATTATTCCCAATATGCCAACATATGGAAAAATGAAAACTGTTATCCAAACCACCAACCAGCTAATAATGAAATCATGAAATTCTTGGTTGTATCCTGCCTGTCATATTCCCATGATATTTTTTTCCATAAAACGCTAACACTTCTAGGGCATTGTTCTCTGAAAGGACTTCGCGCATTGTGCTGGAAAGCGCTGCGACGAGGCAGGCTTTGTAGAGGCTGGGCCGCGCAGGGTCTGGAGGTTCCATGAGGTAGAGGTGCGTCCTGTGAGATCACTGCCCTGTGCCATCACACCTGTAGTACGCATTGGTCAGAACACATCAGCTGGCCCAAGTTGAGAGGTGCCACTACATCAGGCCTCCCTGCACAAAGTTGCACTGGAGGGGTCATCTCGTCCCGCGTCGAAAAATCCAATTGCCTTAAAACCAATGCCTGCAACGGCGAATGGAACATAGCCATCTTATTCTCCCCATGACTATCGCATTAAGCATCTCCCATGACACTCCCACCATATTCCCATGATATTTCCGCGCAACAAATGTCTGTGTGGCTTCTGACCCCATCTAACTGTTAGATTATAGCAGTATTAACCGCAAGCCCCTTTGTTAGTTAATCTAGCTATACTATGATTCATGATTAACTATGATTAAACGATTAAACCCCTTGTTCGAACTATAGTGATAGTAACCACATGCAACCGCTGACTATAGTCATAGCTACCCTCCAGTACATTAACATAGACCCTGCCATGGGTCGGGGTTGGAAGATTAGTGTCCACTAAAAATGGATAATTTTCACGGTCAAACTCTAAATTTACAAAAAGGTAATTCTCCTCTTTAATTCAGTCCACAGTTATATTCAGTATCAGTAGTCTATTAGTCTATAGGTTTAATCCCATTATTTGTTAGTAGGACTACCATAGAAAATAATTAGTACATTACTTGTAGGTTTAATCCCATTTCTAGTTACTATAGGTCCCATATTAATTCCATAGTAATTTACGTAGTAATTAAACCTATAGACTATTCGAAGGAAGTTTAGAAGTCAAACTTCCGACAATATGGACAGATGAAAAGCAGAGCAGGGAAGAGGCAGAGAGAAGAGAAAGATTAGAAGAAAGAAGAGTAGAAGAGAAAGAGTAAGTAGAAAGAAGATGCAGATGCGAGAAAAGGTAGGAAAGTCGCGAAACACTGTGTTTTCCAATGATTTGGGGCTCCGGAAGGTCGAAAAGTAGGCTCGCTAAAGCGGCGGGTGCGGAGCCAGCTGGCCAGATGAGAGATGAAAAATTGCACGCCGTTGTGGCGCGAAGCACATTTGCAAGTCAAAATGTACAAAACACCTGGTGCTCGGAGCACTTTTGGAAGTTGAGATGTCGAAAAAGTGCACGCCGTTGTGGCGCGAAGCACATTTCCAAGTCAAAATGTACAAAGCACACCATTCTCGGACCACTTTTGGAAGTTCAGATGTCGAAAAAGTGCACGCCGTTGTGGCGCGAAGCATATTTCCAAGTCAAAAGTGCAAAAAACTGACGGGTACGGAGCACTTTTGGACGTTCAGATGTGCTTTCGCTTGGCAGGCGCAAGGGATTGTGCACCTTGGCAAAAGTGAGCAAACGTGAGGGTTTTGTAGCATTTCCAAAAACGCTGGCAAGCGTGGGACATTTGAAGAGGATCTTCAAAGATGCATTTCGCGTGGCAGGCGCAGTACAAAAGACATGTTCATCAGAGATGTTAGGAGGTCAGGGCGCTGATTTCCTGAGAGGGGTTGCATTTTGGAGCATCAGATCTTCAGGTTTGCTGAGATGATTTCGCGTGACTTTTTCGTGGCAGGCGCAGTACTTTACACAGGTGGAGTGGAAAAATCCCAAAACGCATTGGTACGAGTCTGTCAGCTCTGCACTCAACTTTCCATTTTTGAAGGAAGTATCGCAGAAATCTTCGTTTTTGATGGCTTGCACTTCGGCAAATGAGGAAGTCTCGCAAAATTGCTTCGTTTCGGATGTTGTCAAGTTCAAAAAATGAAGACGTCTCGCAGAATTGTTCCGTTTTGGACGTTCTTAGGTTTAAACATTACGGAAGTCTCGCAGAATTTCTTCGTTTTTGATCTTGCAGATAGATAGATAGATAGATAGACAGACAGACAGACAGGCAGATAGATAGATAGATAGATAGGGAGATAGATAGATTAGATTAGATTAGATTAGATTAGATTAGATTAGATTAGATTAGATTAGATAGATAGATCGATGGATAGATAGATAGACAAATAGCTAGAAAACTAGACAGCTAGATAAATACATAGGGAGATAGATAGACAGAGAGATAAATAGATAGATCGATAAATAGATAGATAGACAGATAGATCAGTAGGTAGGTAGATAATCAGAGAAAGATAGATAAACAGAAAGAAAAAGCGAGAAAGAGGAAAAAGCGAGCGAGAGAGAGAGAGAGAGAGAGAGTGAGAGAGAGAGAGATCAAGCACCTTTCAGTCCATCAGTGGCTTCGCTCTGCCATCCCTGATTCACAACAACCAACCTCTCCTATAGGTTTCCTATTTTTGAAACTTCCGCCACCGCCTTGTGCGGTACTACTGGTAACTTATACTAAACCTATAGTAATTGACTAACAGACAATGGGATTAAACATAGTCTGGTTGGTGGTTTCAACACCCCTGAAAAATATTAGTCAGATTGGATCATCATCCCAACTATGGGGGAAAATAAAAAAAATGTTTGAAACCACCAACCAGTATAAGTGGCCTAACTATTATGGTTTTTGGTAGATATAACTATGATATACCCTCTTGCAATTTGTTACATAGCTATTGAAAATGGTCCATGTATAGTGGAATTACCCATTGGAAATGGTGATTTTCAATAGAAAATAGTAATATAGCCCATTTAATCTGCTATGATGACCATGTCCCCACTATATGGGCATGTTTCAAAACGGTGTCTAACCCCATCTATGAGGCCGGGAAAATGATGATCAACCATCAAATATAGTAATTGACCCAAGGGCCTTGGAGGGTTGCCCCTTCTGCTCGTAGTACTTGGCCGCTTGCGCCATGCCCGAGGGATCCGATGACAACGCTAAGCCTGGTTGGAAATCCACGAGACGCGGAAGGCACTGTGAGAAAAAAAAAGGACACATTGCTTGGGAGTGGAGTTCCCCCAAATATATACATATATATATATGTATATATATGTATTGCACAATGTAAATATATATATATGAATACATATACATAAATAAATATATATATATATAAATACATCTGCACAGATTATAATATTTCGCAGGTCGTCGCTTATTTCCAATAATTTTACCGCTGAAATATTGACGTCGTCTGAAGTAATAAATTATTTTACGCCGCTTAAAACCGATTTTTCAAGCCGTAGTTGCCCATGGAAAAGCTAGAAAAATAGGGAACTTGCTTCTGAACGCGCTGAAGACCTCAGTTTCCTAGTTTGATTAAGCAGGATCTTTTTGTTTGTCCAAGCTTTGCCGCTTAAAACCGATTTTTCCAGCCGTAGCTGCCCAGACAAGAGCTAGAAAGATAGGGAACTTGCTTCTGAACGCGCTGAAGACCGCAGTTTCCCTTGTATGGTGGTGAGCTTATTTTTCTGAGGCTAGGTCGTTATTTCGGGGTGACGCCGGTGACGTCGTTTTAAATTGTCCAGATACATATACCTGCAAACCCTGTGTCTGGCCTTCGCTCAAAACGTCATTTGTCAATGTCAAAACTTGCATTTCGTGCAGGGGAAACGCATTCATACATAGGGATGATTCCACGTTGTGGTGATTATTATCATACTTAGTTCCCCACCTGCCAGGTGAGGGTTGTTAGCTTTTATCAGAGTTGTTCTCCTTCTTCTCCTTCTCCTTCTCCTCCTTCTCCTCCTTCTCCTCCACCACCTCAATTTCTGCCACTTCCATGTCCACTTCCGCCTTGCCAACTCTTCGCCAAGCTCTTCGCCAACTTCCGCACACAGTGGGCACTGCTGGACCTCAACTGCAAGGGTCTGAGCGCAGTGGGCACCGCTGGACCTCAACCTGGGACCTGCCGAGTTGAGTGAGCATCTGGGACCTTCCGAGCTCAGTGAGCGCCGCTGGACCTCAACGGCCAGAGAGAATGCCAGAAGATATGCCAGATAGAACGCCAGATAGCATGTCAGATAGAATGCCAGAAGATATGCCAGATAAAATGCCAGAAGATATGCCAGATAGAATGCCAGAAGATATGCTAGATAGAATGCCAGAAGGTATGCCAGATAAAGTGCCAGAATGTTTGCCAGATAGAATGCCAGAAGATTTGCCAGATAGAATGCCAGATAGGATGTCAGAAGATATGCCAGATAGAATGCCAGAAGATATGCCAGAAAATATGCCAGTTAGAGTGCCAGAAGATATGCCAGATAGAATGCCAGAAGATATGCCACATAGATTGGCAGAAAGTGGGCCAGAAGATATGCAGGATAGAATGCCAGAAAGAAGATTGGCCAGACAAACGCGACTAGAACATAGGGACAAAGAATGGCAGAAGATAACCCAGATAGAAAACAAGATCATGTCGAGTAGAATTTTAGTGGATCACTCGCTTTGCTGGGTTCTTGGTCAAGCAAGCTCAAGCCAAAGCAAGTTGTCTTGTGGAACTGATGATGTGTTTGAGCAGCCATGCATCATGTTTATGTTAGCAGTTTGTATTGGTTAGCAACAGCTTGCACAGGTTTTGAATTGCAGGTTCACTGCCAAATTCTTGTTCTTCCAGCTTTGATCATCATCCGTCGCCTCCAACAGATACATCACTTGACGATGTGACAACAATAATTTCCAAAAGGAAATATCATCCTTCAAACAATTTGACCGCGCGGGCTCCACAACTTGCTTCACCCACATACACTCACGACAACGCAGGTTGCCGAAGCCCTGTTGGATCTCCCTGCATTGCTGCACAGCCAGGGCAATCAAATTCAAGGAATGATAGTTCACACATTTGGGCAGATCCAGTCCCAGCGCCGCCACAGACTCCGAAGCTCGCTCCAATTGGTTTCTGTAGTCAAGGCAGGTTCGTTCCATGCGGGCCAATGTCTCCTGATGCGTTCGTCGTGCATCAACCAATGGCAATGATTGCAGCAGCTGCCAGAAAATATCATCATGAAGATATGACAGAAGATATGTCAGTAACAAAACGTATAAATGTCATGGTGGGATCACTCGAAGTAAAGTAATTTTTCCATTAATAACCCCAACTGCGCTCCCAAGTGGGACATATACCTACCCTACATATCAAAATATATCAAATATCAAGCAGCTTATGGTGATATAATTAACGGGACATATAATCATGTATGATTGGTGACGAGTAAACAATGCTGGATTTAGCCCTCGCTACAGATATATCTACCAAAAGTATCCACAAGTCCTAGTTATTATATATATATATTTCTTAGCCAATGTATGTGTATATATATAGATATGGTCTTTTCAAGGATATAGAGTGATTTTTCACGAATAGGCTGGGCAAAGACTAGCTCCAAAATTGGATGGCACCCCGCGACACCAACATCGATTTTCCCCAAACATTCATGAGGCTAGTCAAAACCCTGGCACCCAAACGGTACCCCAAGATAGCTGGCTAATGGATGCTAATTTTGTCAATATGGATCAATATGGTACAGTATATAATTTAAATAAGTTTGGATACATCTCCATGTCTGATCTTGGATTTGCTAATCTGCGGATCCCACAAAATCAAACATATTCCCTATAGATTTCCCTAATTGGATTTTCCATCATAGAAATCGGCTTAAACAAACCCAGCCGATTGTAATGGATTGAGTGTCAACATCTGCTGAATTGACGGATTTATGCAAGGTAGTGCCTCCCCAGTTATATGTTGGTTTATAAACCCTATAAACTAGTTCGATGTCATTATATCTACCATAAACCATAGTGCCATAGAATTCACCTAGTTATTGCCCTCTGGTAAACTAACATAGTTATAGAACATCACCATTTTTACTAGGTCATTCATCTATAAATTGATAATTTTCAGTTCGCTATGTTAGTTTACTTCACCTGCACAAGTTGTCCCAGCAGAAAAAGCAGCTGGGTCACTCATCAAGTCTCCGTCGTATTGGTTCTCCTGAATCCGCAATGGAAGATGAACGTCAAAAAAAGTTTGGAATCATAGGGTAAACCCAATAGATTAAGCTACTATTGAGGATTGTTTCTATTTTTATGTAGGGTAAAATTGGGGATGGTTTATGATTGGGTTGACGGCACTATTATGTTCCTTGTTGATGTTTTTCGGGTTTCATGTTGGTTTCAAGCGGTCACAGAGGGGAATTCATGGGATATTCAATTCAATGAATGGGAACAAAAGGAACATGTACAGGATACAATCATGTTTTATAGAAAAAACAACAATATAATTTCACATCCTGGAGCCTTATAGGCAATAGGGCTGCTATCCCATGTTACCATGGTAATATATTATCATAATACACCTATCGATAGATAAGTTCCCCTTATAGCCCCAAACATTTTTCAAATAAGTCCATTTAATCTGCTATGATGACCATTTCCCCACTTTATATGGGCATGTTTTTAAACGGTGTCTACCCCCAAACGATCATTTTCAAAAAGGAACATATGAGGCCGGGAAAATGATGATCAACCATCAAATATTGGAGACATTTTTCACCTATTTTTCAGACAAGATGTTATTAATATAGGATATGATATACTAATATATGATAATAATGGTTCATATATGATTCATATAGGGTTAATATACTGATAATAATGGTTCGTATATGGGTATCATACCAGGTTGGTGGTTTCAACCTACCCCTCTGAAAAATATGAGTTCGTCAGTTGGGATGATTCTTCCCACGATATGGAAAAATCATCCAAATGTTCCAAACCACCAACCAGTGTTATTCATACCATGTCCATTCACTAACGTTTAATATGGACTAATATGGCGTTCATACATGGGCTTTGTCTGAAAACGGGTTACCTCTAACTCCATTGTTTAATCATCATTGTCCCTATCAAAAGTACCAGAGCCGGGATCACTGACACCATTTTCAGACAGACCCACATCATTCATACATATTAACATGTTATTCATACATATTAATACAATTTGAAACATATCAATACCAATGGTGAAAAATCACCATTTAGAGATACGCCGTATTTTTATACACCATATGAGTCATGTCAGAGTCATATTCATACCATTTCCATACTAGATCCCCACAAGGTGGTGCCCAAGTGAGCTGTTCACGCGAAGTTGGTGCAAATAAGTCCAATTTCACCAGGGTTGATTAATGGGGGTTATATCTAACTAGTTCATGGGGATTATAAACCAACGTTCACATCACTAAAAGGGCACCACCTGGCATTAAATTCCGTCAATTCAGCAGATGTTGACACTCAATCCATTTACAGGTCTATCCATTATCTATACATATTCGGAAACCATTTCCCCACGAGATCCACCATGGATTTCCGAAAATCATTTCCGAGGCAGGCTCCTGTGCCAAGCGAATGGCATGCGAGGAGCGGCCCGCCAACTGAAAGTAATGCATGGCTTCCTGCGGCATTCGGAAATCGCCATGGCGACCTGTTTTTTTTGGGAGGTCTTCACCATCAGAAAACCATGAACAAATGGGAAAAAATGGTGAAACATGGTGATTTAACATGATTTAACCATGAAAATTGGAAAGTTCACCATCAACAATGAGCTTTTCAATGGTGAGTTAGGCATCAACAATGATGACTTTGCCACTCAAAATGCCTATTTTTACCAGCAATTTGTATGGTGATTTAACGAACCAAAAACGGTGATCTTAAGCATCAGTTCTTCGATGATTTCACCATGAACAATGGGACCATTGGGCTTGGGTCATCTGGAGAATGGCATTTTAACCATCGGAAATTGGTGATCTAACGTGGATTTAGCCATGAAAAAACAAATCGATCAACTCAGGGGAACCAAAACAAGCGACGACTAATTCAGGTCCCCCAAAAACGGTTGAGGTCAGGTGCCCAAAAAAATCATCGATGATCAGATATAGAACAAGAATCGACTTGAGATGGGCGTTTATAAAATTCGGGTACTTCAATATTTCCTCCATTTGTTCGCCCGCTTTTGGAGTAGAAGGCACAGGACCCGTGGAGCTCCGAAGGCAAAGCTTGGAGCACCACCAGCCTTGGGCTTTTGCCACTGGAATCAGCTTCTCCGAGAACAAATGAAACGATGACTTGTGTTGAGGAGAAATTGGAGAGCAATTCCGAGACTGAAAAAATTGCTCTCCACAAATGAACCTTTTCTGCCAAGCTTGGAGAGCAATTCCAAGGCTCGAAGGCTCGAAGGTACCCGCGCTTGTTTGAATTTCATCACTTTGACATTCAGAGCACTGGGCAGGAGGCCATCGATGGGAATTGCTGTGGCTGCGATAGCCCAGGTGGATACCCATCGACGGGGGAAACCATCCCAAATGACTTTTTCTCATCCCACCCCCCTAATAGTTTTTCACCCCCTCTGTAAATCCTCACAAAAAACGGTTCTGAGTTATGAGTATAACCCCAACGGCACCTAAGTCTCCTAAAATAGCTGGGATTTATAAATGGTTCTTCCCCAAACGATGGGCATAGTGGGTTTTGAACCATCCCCACATGGTTTTTGCGGGTATTTATCCAACTGAGTTGGGAACTAACTTGCTGAACGTTTGGGTTTATGATGGGTTCTTCGGGACTATAACTATAATTAGCTATAGTTTTTATCTGGTTGGTGGTTTCAACCTACCCTTCTGAAAAATATGAGTTCGCCAGTTGGGATTATGAAATCCATTGGTTAATCATCCTATAATTAACTTTTTTTTTAAAAAAATGGGTTTATAAACCAACTCATGAAATTGCTGTTACCCTCCGGTGTCATCAAACGTGGCTTGCTGGAAAATCCACCCCACATTTAGTTCGACAATTCTCCGATGACTTTCCCAGTGAACTAAACCTCCATTTGATTCGAGGATTTTCCATTAACAAAGGGTACATATGGACGTTTCCTAGAATGGTGGTACCCCCATAGCTGGATGGTTTATTTCATGGAAAACCCTATGAAAATTGATGATTGCTTGGGGTACCCCCATTTCAGGAAATCTCCATATCTGGAGTGTGTCCTATTTGTAACATTTTGTAACTGGCTTCTATCATGGTTCTGAAACATAAATTACCCTCTGGTAAACTAACATATCTATTGAAAAATGGTGATTTATAGTGGATTTACCAATTTTAATGGTGATTTTCCATAGTTATGTTAGTTTACCAGAGGGTACATATGAAAAGGAGTCAGGACTTTTTTCCACAAATGTCAATCATCCTGGATTGAACAAAATCCCCAGTTTTTCAACCAGTGGCTCTTCAAAATTGGGATGTTCACACTGATATCCCCGGGATTTTGGTCCCCGAAGGAACTTCCCGGTCTAACCGTTCACGTTATCATTGGCTAAGAAGACATCTCCCCAAGGTCATATCCCAACTACAAACCAACTAACCTTCCCAGTAAAATCAGTAAAAATCCATGAGCATATGGAACTCATAGTTATTCCATTGCGTTCCCATGATCTCCGGGACAGGCATTAGAGTTATTGCTATGGGAATGGTATCCATAGTCTTCCCATATATGTTTGCTGATAATGGCCCGCGGTTTCTCCTTGAAGTGGCCCGCGGCCTCCAAGTGCCTGGGTCAAGTCATGACGCCGGGTACGAGGTGAAAACAAGTTGCTTTCGAAAGCATAGTAACTATATAGGAATTATAGTAACATAGTAACTAGAACTAGTTGGGATTATGAAATCCATTGGTTAATCATCCTATAATTGACTACTTGGTGGTTCATCCCAGGAATCGTAAGTGGATTATAACCCCAGTTATAAGTGAACCTTGCTCCTACTTAGCCCAGTTATAACCAGGGTATAACCTACTTACTAAGTGGGGGTGAACCACCAAGTAGGAATTATAGTAACATAGTAACTATAACTAGTAACTATAACTAGTGCTACTATGTGGTACTATGTAGTTATTATGTTATAGTTTTATATATATGTACTTATATAGGCAATCAGTAACATAGTAAGCATATATAACCATAATAGACACCTATAACATAGTAACTATGTGGTTTCCAACCAGTAACTAGTTGTCTATAGTTACTATAATAGTTGTCTATATGGTGTTCCTAGGTAGGAACTATATAGACAACTAGTAACATAGTAACCATATAGTATATAACCATATCGTAACCATATAGCAACTATATAGTAACGAACTGTTGGTTTAGCCACACGGACTCTATAGATATATCATGATATATCTAGCATAAAACATAGATTTCAGCTAGTTATAGAACAGCTAAGCATGAACTATTATTGGACAACAGGATACTAGAGTTATAGATAATGATATGCCCATTAGTTCACTGGAACGGCATCCCCAAGTGGACTGGAATAAGGATGTGTTAATAGTAGTGGTAATAGTAATGTATTGTATGTATACAGTCACACTCGATTAGTTAAGCTAGATTACTATTCTTCAATAACAGGATATTGTAGCAAACCCAATAAATCATCCCCTTGATTGTTATGATTTGCTAATATTGGTTCAGCTTCGCATGTTTACTAAGAAATGGCTCAGGGATTATCAGGCTAAGCATGGACTATCTGTTGGTTGAAAATCCCATATAGCATCCCGAATTCATCAGCTAGTATAGCCCCCTATTCCAAAACATACAACAATCAATCAACAATGTTTCTGGCTCGATAAGCAATCAAATTCAGGAAACAAGTTCCCTTCAAGCAAGTCTTGAATCCGGGATTGTCATTTGGCTAAGCATGGACTATCGGTTGAAAATCCCCCCCAAAAATAAATTCATCAGGTAGTATAGCCCCCTATTCCAAACTAGAATGGCATGGGAATAGACTTGAATAGCCCCTAGTAATCCAACCGTTTGCAAAGTGGAAGCAACCGCCATTTCTTCAATGGGTAAATCATCTACAAACATGGCCCCTTTTCCCGTCTTGTGATGTCCAATAGGTCATCCGTAGCTACTCAGAACCTTTGGGGTGGACAAGCAAAATATGCATAAATATGCTGATTTCACGATGAACAATTCTGGTTGGTGGTTTGAACCCCCTGAAAAATATGAAAGTCAGTTGGGTTTATGAAATTCCCAATATATGGACAAATAAAATTCATGTTCCAAACCACCAACCAGAATCTAGTGATTGATCTTCTAAACAAAACATGAATCCAATCTTTCCAATCTTTCATACTCAAAATTGATGAGGTTCATAATGCCTCATTAAAAGCTACCCTTCACCAAACTTTCGCCAAGAAGTGGAGAGCGTTAATTGTTTCTATATCCGATCTAGAACCATCCAATTTCGAGGAGTTGTAGTTGTTGTAGAACCATGACCTACACCTGCAAGGTGCGTTCCAGTAGATAGCTAAGTTCACTTATAACATCTTATAACTTGGTTAACTCTGGTTTATGGGGACCTAGTAACTATGAACCCATTTTAACTTCATAAAGGTTCAACCTATTAAACCAATGTGGTATAGTTACAAGATGGTTTATGAGTGTACTTGGTGGTTCATCCCACGGCTCCTTATCCCATGTAAATCACTGGGGTTATAACCCACGTACGAGCCGTGGGATGAGCCACCAAGTAACTATGATTCATGGCTTTTAAAGCAACTTATACTTGCGCCTCACGGCCTCACCTTCCACGAAAAAATCGTGGGGCCATCTCAAGAGAACCCAAGTTCTTCCCCAGCTTTAAACCTCATGGCATGGGTTTAGTCAAACCTTTTCCATAATCATATTCCATAATCTAAGAATAGATCATGGGAAAGGTTTGACCTTAGAATCATATTGTGGAATGGTTTGACTAAAATTATAGGCCATTATTATATTAGAATCATATTCTACAAATTATTAATCATAAATATTATACTGGAATAATTTTTCTACTAGATATGATTTTGGGATGATGAAGCTGTAACCCGAGTGATTCATCCTGGTTGGTGGTATACCTACCCCTCTGAAAAAATATCACTCAGTTGGGATGATGAAATTCCCAATATATGGAAAACATGTTCCAAACCACCAACCAAATAATCATCATATTCCATAATCAATCTAAAATTAAGGGCATCTAATTATTGATCCATGGAATCTAAGAATAGATCATGTTCTAATTATCGGGCAACATCAAACCCTTCACTTGGATGCCTTTACACAGTTTCTATGAAATCCCAGCAGGATATTCCCAGGATGGGACTCTGCTGGTTGGTGCTGCGCCAAATCTGAGGGCTTACCCAAATCACACCACCATTAACCATGTACCAACCATTCACCATTCGGCATGCCCAATATGCCATATTTTGACAATGAAGTCCTAGATATCAAAACCCGATACATTTGCCGCCCTGAATAATTCAGCATTCTACAGCTGCTTGTCCCACAATGTCCCCTTCAAAATTCCGATTCTCATGGGTGTTCCATCAACTGGAATTAGGACTTTGACATCAATGGAGCATTTCCCATGATGGACATTCTCGTGTGTTTTCCACAGTTTCTCTGTCCTTTTGGTGCTATTACACCCCATGGAACTCCCCCCAAAATGGGGTTTCAGAACATCATTTTCCTATTGAGTATGGTCATTTTGGGCTTCATTCCCAATAAAATCTCAGTATTCTCCCATTGTTCATCCTAAGATTATTGGGATGAACAATGGGAAAATGGGAGAATACTGAGATTTATTGGGACTATCCATCCCAAGATCCCCTTCTGGTGCTTACAATCCACCTTCCACCCATCCCCAGCCCCCCCATCCCCGCCCGTGCCTGGCGAGGTGATAACAGGCCGCTTGGTCCTGCGAATCTTCGCAGATCTTCTGCGCACGATCCAAGTCTTCGTTGAAGCACGCGACCTACCACCGCGCAGCCAACGGGGGGATGCCCGGGCCAGGGTGGCCCCCCAGTGGTGGTGTTTGTTGCTGTGTAAAACACCATTCACTATTAGTAGATATCATAAGTACTCATAAACCATAGTTATGGGAGTTATGTTCACCAACTTAGCGATTTCGTTTGGGCCCCACATTGCAGGTAGAAATGAACATTTGATATGATTTAACCATAGAATAATGGAGATTTATACCCGATTTATGTTTGCTAAGTTGCTTTAGAACGAATATTTCAATAGGGTTTATGGTCAATGCACTCGGTAGGTGCAATATAGACTTAAAGATGGGCTTATCAACCAACTCATGTTCAACCCTGTGATGAAGCGGTTACAAACAGGCAATATCTTGAAGATTTGGGGAAGGTGCCTACGTTTTTTCCTTGTTGCCTTGAAACAAACACGTTACTCTCTTACACAATCAATCGTCGATGTCCAGAAAACATGGTGAGATGACATAACGTTTACCCAACGCAACATGGGATATGAAGCAACAATCATGTGGCTAGCTTTAGATAAACCCTGATGGCAAGTTAATGGCTAGCTCAATATGATGTATTTTATATATTTTTTGTCCATCAAAGTGGTCATAAACCGACCCAAGAATTTGGTTGTCCCACAAACAAGCCCGTGACTGCTGGAGGAGGTTCAATTCCATCATTGAAACCATCATCAACGTTCTGTTATTGATTGCTTCTATGGCAATGTGTAACCAGGTCCCCATTGAAATAGTCACCATTTTCAAAATGGTGGTGGTTTATGATTTTGGGTACTCATAGCGCCGTTTATGGTTGAAAGTGGTGCCTCCGATTATAAGTTGGCTAATAATCCCCATAACGGTTTTCGATTTTGGGTACGTATAGCGCCCTTTTAAATTTATGGTTGAAAGTGGTGCCTCCAGTTCTAAGTTGGCTTATACTCCCGATTAACTAGTTCAATGTATCTACTATACACCGTAGTGACATGTTGCAAAGATACACTTAAAACCAACTTGCAGCAGCTAACAAACTGGAGCACCACCTTGCATACTTGATTGTTGTCCCAATTTTCCGAAAATATTCCCATCATGTCCCCACTATTCAATATAACCTGTCCTAAGATTCTAGTATTTTCACATCTCAATCACCCATTACCTTATTGCTGCTGAAGTCCACTTTTTCCCCCTTTGCAGCATATACTATTTATATATCTTATACATATATAATATTATATCATATCATATTACATTATATTATATTAGTTATATTATATTATTATATTATATTATTATATTACATCATACTATATTATAGATTTATAGTATATTATATACCATGTTATATATTTTTTGCTGGCTCCACTGCCGGTCAAATTCCCTCCCACGATAAATCTCACTAGAACCCATTCCATTCCATTCAAAACTAGCAGTACCCTCTGGTAATTTAACATAGCTATGGAAAATCAGCATTTTTAATGGGAAAACTCACTATAAATGGCCATTTTCAATAGCTATGTTAGTTTACCAGAGGGTAAATCACAAGTTTCATCAATTTCCTGTGGATTTTCTACAACAAATCGCCATCGCAAGTACCCGCCATCGCCATTGGCCGCCAAGGTGCACGACACAGCGACAACCAATCGTTGGCTTTGGTGTACTCCCGGGCCGCACCGTCCAGATCCTTGCGGGGACGCCCTAGATGAGAGATCAACTTGAAAAGCTTAATGGACAGTAGTAATCATAGTAGTAGCAATGATACCCTATGGATCCAAGTACCTTCTCCGGAAGTGTTTGGGGTATAATTTGCTTTAATTTGGAGGGTTAAGTACCTTCTCAGATAGTGTTTGGATCCATAGGGCCATAGGGATAGTAATGGATAGTAGAAATAAATAATGATCAATAATGCTAAGTACTATTAGTAGTTGGTTTAACTTGAAAAGTTTCATGGAATAGTGGATATAGATAAGGACAATCAATGCTGGTTGGTGGTATACCTACCCCTCTGAAAAATATGAGTTCGTCAGTTGGGATTATTCTTCCCAACTGAATGGAAAAATAAACCAAATGTTCCAAACCACCAAACAGAATGGATAACTAAATATCAATAGAGATATACTATCATTATTGGAACAATTGTCATTATAGCCTATCACATTTAAAAAAAAGTGGATATAGATAATTGATGGTAACAACTTATATGTTCATGGAATAAATGGTAACAATAGTAAATTTTATCATAATTCATGGTAATTCGGAATATAATGAAAAGCAGCCATCAACACATTATATATAGATTTAATTGATGGTAAAAACCATGATTTCCTGTAGATTATTCCTTTAACCAATCCATTGATTGGTTGAGTTGATTTCAGGCACTCATGTGGGTAAAACAATGTCATAAACCATCCATGACTGGGAATGGGAAACATACCACCAACCAAAAAGTGGTGATGACGGGGGGGATGGTTTCTGGCATTGTTTTGCCCACATTAGTGGACATAGGTACTCTCTGGTAATTTAACATAGCTATTGAAAATGGCTATTTATAGTGGATTTACCCATTAAAAATTGTGATTTTCCATAGTTATGTTAGTTTCTCAGAGGGTAATAATGATAGCAATGGATAAATTAATAATAATTAACAAATATATGATATATAAAATTATTAAAACATATAATGGACTACTGGTGGATAACTAATAATAAATGGATACTCTAATGTCAATGGAATTCTGGTGGATAACTAATAATTATATTGATAGTGAAAAGTGTGATAATCTATAGTGGAAAAACATGTCAATAGAAATAAATAATGATATACCTTGTGGATAACTACTAACGATAACAATGAATCATAAATAGTGTAAATAATGGTGATATTATGTTGTATCAAGAATCATGAATGATAAATTACCATTATGTTATTTTTAGTTTATATTCACATTAAAAATTCCACTGAGCCGGGGATTTACAGCCAACATATCAACATATTTCAACAAATCACCAACATGTCATGAGAACATTTCACCACGTGTATCATGGGAAATCTTTGGAACATCAAAAAATGGGTTGCGGTAAGGTAGAAATATCGCACTAGGTAGCTGGGGGTTTCTGAACCAGCAAAGGTAGCTGGAGGTAGCACCACATTCTAGCATATCATATAACTGGAAGGTACAGAATGTGGAAAAAACCCAACTATAAATTAGATAAAACCAGTAAGGAACCTCTTCACCAAGTGGGATGATCCCCCAAGCATAGGGAACCTCTGAGACTGTCGACACGGCCTTCTGCAAAAGATTGTCGACACTATCACCATAAAATCGCCAGGAAACTCCATCAATACTGTGAAATCAAATCCTGTTGTAAAATGTTATAAACAGGGCTTGGTAAATGTTCTGTTTTGGGGATTTGTTTCACATCACTTGAACAAGTATCCGTTGGAGATCATATCCCCATAGTTGGGTAATGTTCAATTAGGACATTTACCAACCCCTGATACACCCCATTAAATTCAATCAAATCAAATTCTTGGGGGCTTACTAATCTTATTAATTGAACCCAATTCTTGGATATTCTTGGGGAGTCTGAAGGTCATATTCTACACAGTATAGCTTGCACCAGCTTCAAGTCCTATGCTCCATGCTGGAACGCGTATCAACATATTGATCCCTCAAAATCACCCAGTTATGTAGGCAACTATACCCGCACCATGGACCATCTGAAGGAATATTTAAAGGAAAAATAAAACAGCTATGTGGACCATCTGACAAGAATCTTTAAAACAGGATAAAACAGCTATAACCCCTATAACCAGCTCAAAACTATTGACAAACAAAAGCTGTCGCACCGAGGAGCTGCTTTGGATTCCAGGAATTGCGCGTACCAACGGTGCAAATGCGAATCGTCGCTCTTCTCCACGTAGTTGCCTGCGATGAGGTTTAGCCACCTTGAAGGTGGGGCTAAAAGTAGTTAGCTAATGACTGGGTACCATCTGGTTATTTAACATAGCGAACAGGAAAATCACTATTATTAATAGCTAAACCATCATAAATAATCTACATGGGCTATTTTCCAGTTCGCTATGTTAAATAACCAGAGGGTAACTATAATGACTGTTTTTTTTTTTTCTAAAGCCCCCAGTGATTATAGAAAACTAAACCGAATTTAGTTATAGTTATAATATTAATTGAGTAAGATGATACTGCTTATAAACCAACTTATACTGTAACTGGCGCCCACCTTCTGGAACCCGACACAACCAGCATCTATTTCTGGTTGGGCTTCAAGAGAGTTATCATCTTATAGCGAAGGGGTTGAAGCCACAACAAAATGAGGACTTCAAAAAAGGACAAAGTATGGTTAAAACCCATCATGGAGGCAAGGGTGTTCTCCTATATACAGTGTGGCTGGCAGGGCTAGCGATTTCTGCCATGGGCACAGTGGCTGGTGATTTCTGCCGTGATCGTTGGGTTATATCACCAGATTCAGTGCTTAAGCCCTCCAAAACCACCACTGGTTGGTGGTTTCAACCTACCCCTCTGAAAAATGATGGAGTTCGTCAGTTGGGATGATGACATTCCCAAGATATGGAAAAACAAAAAATGTTCCAAACCACCAACCATACAATTTTTGGAGCTCATCAAACAAGTGCTATTTACTTGGGATCGCGCAAGCAAGCATCCCCTCGAATCCAAGGTGAATAAAACTCGCAAGGTTGACGGTGGTTTCAGCTTCATCAACTGCAGCTACTGTAGCTTATTTATGGTAGGTACCTCCAATTTAGGTTCCTGAAACTGGTCCATACACTCCGAATGCATATTTAACAAACTATATGATGCATATGTGTTAGTAGTTATCCACTAGTTGTTGTTAATCGAGCAGGATAAAAAAAAAACACTCCGAATGCATATAATATGACTTACGCGTTAGGATTCACCTGTTGACTTGGTTTCCAACAGCCGTTGTTTCCATCATCTGGTGGTTGTCCCCCTCTGTTTTTGCTACTGGGTCAAGCTTGTGAAATAGCATCTTTTTCTGCACCCTTGATTTTTGCTTTTAAAGAAAACACGATATTTTTTTTGGAGGACAGAATCACTCATCACCATTGGTGCTAATGTCAAACTCGCCCAAGGTACACAAGCTCTATAACTTGCTTCATCATTAGCATAATGACAAGGACTTCTGGTAGCTATATCATGATACATAGAACTAGTTACATGGCTTCATGACGAACTTGCTGGGCGAGCCCAGTAATCTCTAAAGTATTACCCACAATGTGCATCATGGCTAAATCATCGCCCGCCTCAAGCAGTTATTTGAGGATTGAATCCCCATAGAGCCGCTGTGTAAAGCTTCACTTTGCAGAGGTAAATCATGGTCAAATCCAGTACTTTATGGCTAAACAAACGAAATTTCTGATGGCTAAATCCCTCAATAGGTCCATAAGCCCTGTTTCAAGTGATTTACAACGTTTCTTGGAAATCTTTGGTTTATGATCGGTTTATAAACAAACATCTGAATCTAACATCCATATCATCCATATATAAAGTCTATCCACCATACTGTGGATGGTTGCGAAATTCTGTATCACCTTGGATGGTTGAAACCCTATAAATAATGGGATAAGATAAACCACCTATCAACTGGTGATTCGGATTTCGCAACCATCCACCATACATCCAACCAAAAAAGCCCTGCTCCCAAGGGCCCAACCGGTGCCTAGTTCTTCTGTCATCCCCATGGAACATAGCAAGCGCGGTGACTCGGTACGATAGGTGCCGGAAAACCTCAGGACATGTTCGCAGCAAGCGCTGGTTTTCACAACACTGGTATCACTGGATTTAATGTTAAGAGTGGTATATTACCCAACTATTATGAGAATGGTATATTACATATATAATTATATATAATGGATAATGTGAAGAATGGTATGTTATAACAATAGTTGTATATATCATGTCATGAGTTCATGCTATATCCAAGATACTAACTTGCCAAATTTGATATCATTCTTAATTTGATGAAACAGTGGTATATAAACCAACCATCATATGAATTAATGGAGGTATAGTGGATATGATGTTCATCACCAAACATTTATTGAGAATATGCGTCCATATAGCGGGTATAAGAAAATGACATATGTATTCTGGTTGGTGGTTTCAACCCCTCTGAAAAAATATGAAAGTCAGTTGGGATCATTATTCCTAATATATGGAAAAATGACAAATGTTCCAAACCACCAACCAGTAAGCCAGCAATCAACTTGATATGACAGTTGCGTTTGGACATCAAGCTGGCATAGTATGGCAAAATCATGGGAGACTTAAAACATGAACATGAACTGTCATGGGGATATAATGGAATATCACCCAGACTATGGCTAATTGGTTTGTCTGAAAATGGGGCCCTTACCTCCCAAATCCAAATTTCCCCAGCGAAACTACCAATCAATTCCGATTTACATGAGTGTTAACAATCATTCCTCGCTCAAAAATGGATGAACTTCTCAAAAAAAAATCAACCAACAATCTCAACCACCAGTTTTTGCTACTGAAGTCCCTTGTCTTCCCACGTTTTCACCATCCAAGATCACCAGCCAGCCTTCCGCCGCGCCCTCCGCGCCGAGGCACTCGTAGTGGGTCAAGGCGCCCTCCACATCTTCCAGCGCTTCCAAGTGCTGCGCATAGGCGTAGTGCGTGGGTTTCAGGTGGATTCGGTCCTGCAGATCCCCGGGTTTTTGAACATGGGAACTGATGGGATGGAAGTGTTTTTTTGGTATGTGTTTATTTTTAAATAACCTGTTGGTATTGTTTTAAAGTAAATAACGTCATTTTTTTTGTTTTTTAGAAACTACATTTTTTTTGGTATTTGCTTCAAAAAACTTCACCAGATGCAAAACCTTGAGTTTAAATGACATGTCTGAAAGCAACCAGTGAAGATTTTAGGAATGTCCAAAATTGGAGATAGCCTTTATATACACATTTCATATATATATATATATATACATATCATATATATATATTCCTAACAAAGCAAAATAAACATGTTTTAGGTTGCAAGAAACGTATGTTTGCAGTGACCAGCGAGGTAATGTCTGCATGCCTTGATTTTCCCATGTATTCAATGGGGCTTTCCGGTTAGAATGTTTCCAAGAGAACCAATCCATTGAATCTTGGAAGTTTATGGCTGCTCTGCATCCCAGTGACTGGTCGCCTTGTGAGATACGTTTTTTTAGGCTGGGAGGCGTATCTGGGTGCCCCGAAATGTCTCTCATGAGTCAACCCAAAGGGATAAGCAACCCATGATATTCCTATTTTGTGGTGGGTATGTTCAATTGAAAACAACAGCGTTTATGCAACCATTTTAACTGCTAAATCCCCATCAGAAAATCTTGTGTGCTTCCCCAGCAAGAACCCATCATATGAACAAATAAACCATGATTTTGGTAAAGATTAATCTTATCTTCCTTTCTGGGATTTTCTTGGCTATTCGGATATTTTCATGTATCAGAGTGATTCGTTGTATACCCAAATCTTATAAAACAAAAAAAACAACATAGCTTGGATTAGGATCGAAAACAACACATATACACCGCAATCATTAATAAACTTACAAGTATCCATCACCATAATAGGCCCAAACCAACTGTTTACTTAACCTCTGGTATGTTAACAACTACGGAACATGGATTCAGATGGCCAATTTGGTACGATGACATAGCTATCTTCAGATGATGATCTTCCATAGCAAACTTTTTTCGATTACCAGAAGTTATCCCATCTATTTTCTGATAAATTCCTGAATTTATCCTATAGATTTCCTGAGTCTTTATCTATTTATCTATAATATTATATTTCCTGAGTCTATATTTACTATTTATCTATAATATTCTATAATTATTTTCAAAAAAATATTTCCTGAGTCTATATTTACTTTTCCACAGCAAACTCCTGAAAAAATGTCCATTTCCCAGGGATTTCCCAGTTTGTTTTTTTCGAAGCCAAGCCGTGGCGAAGCCGTCCTTTGTCTTGGCCACGTCCAAGGCCTTTTCCCAGTTGCCGCTCGCCTGTCTCGTGGATCAAATCCCGGTTGAATGGGTTGCAGTTATGGCCCAACTGACAGTTATAAATGGGCTTATCATACATAATGATATATGATGATATATGACCTTATGACCTTAGTTATAGGAGTTATAATATGCCACTACTGTTAGTTGGGCAATAACTGTGGGACACTTCCTCAAAAATGCTTCATGTTTCATAAATGTAGCAATATCAAAATGATGAAACATGAGCTAAGATAGGAACTATCTGCCAACATCTGGGCTTTCATGGGGGATAGATTCAGACATGACTATCAACAGGGACTAAACATGTAAACATTGCTGAATTCTCAAAAATTGTTCAATACTTGTGAGAAAATAGTGGCTTATTATGGAAACTAATAGGGTAGTGATGGGGAAGACATAGGGATAAGCATCAATCATGAAAGGTGGCTCCCCAGTGAATTGAATTGCTGTTGGATTATTACAATTGTGTAACCGTTGGGATTATGCAACATATATCGAACTAGTTGATCCAAGAAAAATGATCCCATGGGACAAATCATGGGACAATTACTTGGACAATTAAGGATAATCTTTGATTGTTGCTGTGTTGTTTTACTTTCAGAAAATTGTTTCATTAATGGGAAACATATATCATTGGGCAACACAGGGAGATGTTAATGCAATTATTTAATGTTCAACTGGCCAACGATGATACTGTATAATCAAATGGTGATAGTAACATGCGACAATCCATGTTTCATTAATGGGATAATATCTGTAAACACCAGGACGCAAGTGACGTAAATGCCACTCTGATCAACATCCGGCCAAGCTCAGCTGCATTGCTGGTCTGCTGCGCTGCTTCATCGTCTGCAAGCTCTTCCTCATCGCTGGCAGGTGGGGCTACGGTGTCAGTGGCGCGTGGGGCATCGTGCTGCAACCGCTTGGCCGTTGGACGCAGCTGCAAAAAATCGCCCAGCTGCACTGCAATCGGCACTCTGCCAAACCACTTCTCCAGGTAGCGCCCCATGTCCAGCATCATCCGTTCCTGCCGTCTGGCTTGTTTCATCGTGGTGTTGTGGTCACCCTTATTTCTTTTTTGGTGTCCGTATGATGTCTCCGCGGTGCCGCGCTGGACTGTCTGAATTACTATACTTCACAATAGAATGCATTTGGCGGAGCGCATATAGCACTGAAACAGAAACCCGACATGTCAATGAGCGTAAACATGACCCTGATCATTTGTTTATTGCGTATCACTTCAATCTGACTCCTCAAACCCTTTAGAAAACCCTTTTTTGCGGAGTTTGTCTGAAAATAGGCTACCCCAAAATCCACTGTTTGATCATCGTTCGTTCCTTCGACCATCGTTGCCAGAATCGCGGGGGATACAACCAATGGATTCTTTAAGGTGGAATCTATATAAGAAAGTGCACGGTTTTTACGACCAAATATGTGGTTTCACCCATTTTTGTCCTTCAGCCTTCAACTATATCATGGATGAGAGGGAAATTACATGGATTATATGGAGATTATATGGATTACCCTCTGGTAAATTAACAGTTTGATCCTGAAAATCACCAAAAATCAGATGGTTGGGAAACTCTTGGTGGCTCTTCGGCTCCTCGCTTGGTGGGGAATATCGACCCAAAAAAACCAAACCGCTCCCTCCGAAAACTGGATACGAAACTATAAACCAATTCTAGGAGATACTTCTCACATAACACCATTATCAAGTGATACTTCAATTATAGAAGATTTTCCTACTGTAACACCTTCATTTATGTGATCTTCCCACATGTTCCTATGTTTTTCCAACTTTTTATAGAGGCCATTTCCCATCGCCATGTTATGAATGACAGCGCCAATCGGCCTGGTAGAGCTGATTTAGCAAGTCATATCCTGAGCAGATGTCCGGCACCCATGGACTGTGGGGTTTAACCACAAGGTGGTGCTCCCCCCAGTTGTAAGGTTGTTTATAAACCCAATTTATATAATTATATATATATAACATGATATAACCCCCATAAACCCTGGTTATTCAGTTATAAATTTGTTTATAATCCCCATTATATAACATTATATAACTATAGATATCTATAGATATAACCCCCATAAACCCTAGTTACTGGACTTGTAAACCAACTTAGCTAACAATGGGGCACCACCTTGCAGGAAAATGGGTATCATTGATACATGATGGTTAATGGGAAAGCCATGGACTGGTACTTTCTCATCAATTAGATTCAAAAAACCATAGAAAAACCATAGGAAAATGATGGAAAATGGAGGTTTACCCTCCGGTAAACGTTTACATAACTATGGAAAATCACCATTTCAAATGGGAAAACTCACTACAAATGGCCATTTTCAATAGCTATGTTAGTTTACCAAAGGGTAGATGCCATTCTTTGTTGATTCTACCCCGCCACCGTCTGGACATTTCACATTGGTAAAAATTACCAAATTGTAGATGATTTACCTATTAAACATGGCCATGTTTCATTGCGATGTTAGAGTACCAAAGGGTATGTGATTCTTGGTCCATCTATTGCTTCAGCTTTGTTCAATGGCCAATCTTCGATACCCTGTAAAAAGAAATGTTCTTAGCTGGTGAGTAAATATCCGCATTTATATATGGGAATGTCTCAAAGTAGGGTTGCCCAAAATGTGGGTACCCCAAGTCCAATTTTGAGAAATTCCCACATAACAATCAATCATCTGACTAGAATAGCTATTCACTTGGTTTCCCCGTGTAAATGTAAGTATACAAAAACCTAACCGAACATTCACCCACCACAAACTAGAGCTTTGTTGATCCCCCTCCGAAAATTGCTCAATTTGTCGCCCCAGGTAACTGATTATGCACCCTCGGGTAATAAATTTGACATAACTATGGAACATGGCCCATTTTTTAGACGATTCATGTCTATTCACCTATCATAATATGCTGATGTTCATTGATTTCCTCATACATTCCCTGTGGTAAAACACTGTGAGTTCGGCTCGCCAAGTGTCTTCCACATTGTTTCAGCAACTGTTCCTTGGCAGTTGCAGGGATCCTTCGGTGAAGTGAAGCAAGTGCTGGACGAAAAAAATCGGGGATATTCATGGGATATTCAACAAACTTATATCAACGGGAATATAAACGGGATATTATTGGGATATATGTATATATATATATAATTTGGTCCACCTGAAATAAATATATATATATAATTAATGGGATATATATATATATATATATGAGCCCGGTCCCCGGACCCCACCCCCCCCCCCCCGCCCCCCCAATGGTATCCCCCCCCCACTCCTAACCCCCCCCACCCCCCCAAAACCTAGTATTTGCATGTTATTTGCACATATACATACACATATACACATATATACTCCCCTTTCCACCCCTCCAACCTCGCATCTCTACGTTATTTGCAGCACTTGAGAGCCACGACCTCCTCAACGGACCTTGTCTACCTGTATATTTCTATCATAACCTTTTTTTCAAACCGCCTATAGCGTGCCTCGCACATGGTTTACAACATATTTGCTACCTATGGATTACGCAAAGCTTACCTATGCAAACCTAGACATATGTACGGTAGAAAAACATATATATATATATATGCATTCTAGATACTACATATTGATATCTTGATCTTGTATCTATCACATATTTCGTTTACATTGTACATACTGTACACGTGTATATATATATATATATACACACATAAACTCTAGATATACAGCGTGTATTGCTGTTGATATTCAATATACCACATATACTATGTAGAATTTATTCAACGAACATATTTACCTATATTGTATATATTACATCTACTGTGGATATAGTACATGTGGCATATACTATCTATATTCTATCAAAATCCACATATACGATATATATATATGTTCAATATATATATATATTGCATATATTCTATTTATATCTTACATATTATATATATACAAATGTTTATATATATATACACCACACATACACTGTATATTACATATAGTATATGCATTCTAATTATCGATACATATGCACTATATGCACTATAAAGACTACATACACCATGATTTCTATGTATACTCACCAGTGCTGCTCACGCAGTACCTTCGACATTGCTGGCACACTCCTTGCACTGAGCTGTATCCCCCCCCCACTCCTAAACAATTGGCTTGGCTGCTGAGAAAACCCCCCCTCCCCTGCCACAGGGGGGGGAACCATCTGGCTGGGGGGGGGTGGGGGGGTCCCTGCTCATATATATACCCAGAAATGGGTAAACCATTTCTGGGTTTGGGATATACTGTAACCATGGTATTTCAAATTTGGGTCTACCTGAAAATGGGCTATACCCAGAAATGGCCACTGAACCATTGGGAAAATGATGATAACCTGGATTCTGGGGGTATCCAATTTTCAGACAAAGCCATATCTTCAGTACTCCAAGTTTTGTGGATGAAACATATCTTCATGTGGTTCTGTTACCCTCTGTTACCCGGCCTGGTAAACGTTTATATAGCAGAAAATCACCATCCTTAAGAGGTACATAGATCATGGTAAATCAACGAACTAAAGGTGCCATTTTCAATAGCAAACTGTAACAAATTACCAGAGGGTAATCTCGATGTTGTTTCGCTATTTTTAGACCAAACCAATTTTCCCAAAATCGCCCTGTTTGATGACCAAATGGGATGGAACCATAGACGAATTTCCTCTTCCGTCTGGGGATTTGCCAGCTAGTTTGGTTCTAGTGGTTAGAACGTGTGAAATCCTGTCTATAGCGGTTACAGTATGTGGCTTAAGCCATGCGGGTTTCACTCGGTCGATTTTTGCAGTGAATTTCCACGAAGTATGGACTAACTTAGTCGACTGAAGACTTTTCTCGACCAAAAACGCCAACCCCAATAGTAACTCCAAATAACCAACTATCTTGATGGTTGATGGTTACTATTGTTTTTTATGGTAAAAACATCTGAATCTTGCTGTTAGTTGCCAAAAAACCAACTCCGAATCCCTGCCAAAACCCCAGCTCCCACCCCCATTAGGGGGTTGAAAAAACTGACAGCTTCTCCTAGCTTCAGATCCAAAGTATTATCATCTACCAATACAGTAAGTGGCTGAACCATGGGGGGGTCCGCCCCATATTAATCAATCTTAATTACCCTCTGGTAATTTCACATAGCTATTGAACATGGCCCATTTAGTTCGTTGATTTACTTAAGATTGTGATTTTCCAGTTCGCAAACTCTTAGTTTACCAGAGGGTAACCCATATTAATCAATCTTAATTAAGCCCCATATTTAATTAATGGGAAAATCTATGGTTTCCGGTTAAGATTTTCCCTTAGACCAATCCATTGAATCAAATAGGGTCATAGGGGCCGAAAGGACCGCCACTGCTTCCAAGCATCAGCATCATCAATCATATCCAAATGTACTGCCACCACCGCCAGTCGTGCCTGGCGCCACACATGGGTTGCAGCTGTTTTGTGAGAAATCACGAGCCTAAACAGTGTCATCAAAGGTAGCAATTTCACAATCATTTCTATGAATCTAGGTTGGAATAATGACTATAATGATAGTCAAATGATCACACATAGTAATAGTCAAATTACTAGTCCATAGCTATAACATGCTATAACTATCTTACCCATATCAAGGATGGAATTCCAGCGATGATGAGGCATTTGGCATAGGTGGGCTGAGGCCCTATTTTCCCTACCATCATGAAATCGTGCATCAACTTCGCGTCACTCAAATCCTCCGACTGCAAAAAGGCTTGCCAGCGCTGCGAGTGGTTACGGCTGATATGTGCGCCGTCCTCTGTCTGCCAAAGGATTGCTGTCGCTTCCAAGTGATCTGGCCAGTTCTCGTGGAGAAGAGCAGCGTCACCGATGTCATAGAGTTGCACATGGATGAAGTTCCCTTTGCGCCCATTTAGAGCGACGCCCCCAGTGCCAAGGAGGCCACCGCTAGGGCTAGTAACACGCTGTGGACGAAGAGCACGTTTCTTGGGCGTAGTGTCGCTTCGTCAGCAGTTGAAGCCTGTGATGGCCAAGTGATGTTTTGGTGTTTCACCAGCAACCGGAAAATTGCCAACTTGGTGAAGAAACTAATGACAAAACGTGAGATTTTGGAATTATCTTTGGACAAACTCTCTTGTTTTGGGACATTTGACCAGCATAATCCTGTTTTGAGATTAGTTTTGAGACTTTTTGTTGGGATTTTGGGGATTATTTATCTTGGGGGCTGAGGACATACTCCCGATTTATGGACATTTGACCAGCAGAAACAGATCTTGGTCGTTTTTTGCCGACGAACACTTCTGAGCCGAACAGTTCCCATATTGTTTCAGATCGGGATGCACAAATCATTTTTGGTCACAGGGAAATCACCATACCCTCTGGTAAACTAACAGATTGCTATTGAAAATTGCAATTTATAGTTGATTTACCCAGTAAAGAACTGGTGATTTTCCATAGTGATGTAAACGTTTACCAGAGTGTAAACCCCAAACTTAGCCAGTGTCCAACTTCAGTCACTGCATCTTTGCTTCGTAGGCTCCGTGGCGGGGTATCTTAATGGGGATTGGGATTGTAAGGTCACACTGTTTGGATAGTTTAGTCACTTAAATCCATATCTGGTTGGTGGTTTTAACCATCTTGAAAAATATGAAAGCCAATGGGAAGGATGACATCCCATATATTATGGAAAAAATGTTCCAAACCACCAACCAGATATGTTTGATGATTATACCATAATTTACTGTAATCCCTTCAAAGTCCAAACACATTTGCTGCATCAATAAATCATCCAATGAACTGACACTAGAATCCATGTTATGTTATTAGTCACATTTTAGTAATATCATGTGTGATATCCGATTATACTCCAACAAAAATGAACAAAAAACATGTTATGGATTTAATAATCTCCCATTATATAATAATATATAATATGCCATTATACAATGGAACATTCAATTATATCATGGAAGATATGGATGAAACCATTACACCATGATATTAATGTAATGTGGGAAACAACAATAATAAACCACATCTTTGGGAATGGTAACCATACCACCTATTTATGGTGCTTTGGAAAATGGTTTTTGGCATTGTTTTACCCACATTACTGTAGTACTATGTCTTTGCTGTAAGATGGGGACATATACCCATTATATACTCATCAATACAACCTTTATATACTTTGTTTTAAACAAAAACTATATTAATATACATCTTAATGGTCTTAACTATATGAACGATATTTAACTATATGAACTATATAAACTATATTAATAAAACCAGTTTAACGATACTATATTCTAATATGGTGTCATCCATATCTTCAACCCAGCCACTAGTGGCTACCCACCCTGGGGACCCTAGGGACCCTGGCCTCAGGCTCTTGCTCAGGGCACTGGCGCAGTGCCCCAGCCGCACGGGCATGGGACATCTGCCTCAGAAAATCTTGGAGCGAAATGGACAACAATAGAATTGAACAAAATTAAAGACAAGCAAAATATTACAACATGTATATATATATATATATATGTACATATATAGTGATATATACACAGTTTAAATGTATATATATATATATATGGCTATGAGTCAAAATTGTGTATGGAACGTTCCGCGCTGTTCCGGACGTATGGAACGAAGGGGTTTCGTAAATGGTCTTGTTCCGGACCTTTGGAATGTGATGAAATATAAGCTGTACATAAATATAAATATATATGTATACTGTATATATGTGTAATATATTATATATAATTAAATTACATCTCAAGGATATGCACGTTGAAGCTACTACCACTGGCTGCCGCTCATTTTTACTTCTCATCTGCGCGGCATCCTTGTTGTACACCTGTTCAACGCAGGTTTGCCTTGCATGGCTAGTGCTCGTGCACTAGCTAGGACATAACTGGTAGCCAGCCTCACCCACTGGCTACTATGTGAAGCTATCCGCTCAGCTTCAGACCTGTCACGCAGGTCCCACCTCCCACTCTTAAAACTCAGAAGTCCCGGTCCCTATGGGGTAGATTGTGTCCCCGCGTAGCAAGACTCTAGGCTCCCGAAACCCACGCGCAAAGGATGGCTTAGGAGCAGTCTATGTGAGAACCTGCCGTTTGTTCACGCGGAAGTGGGTCATGGATGGTACATGGGTGGTCCGGGTCTGGAACGGGTATGGAACGGTATGGAACGGGGTCTGGAACGAAACGGCCCACTCCAGCACAGCTCTGCCACCACGAAGCGCATCTTTATCAAAATTGGCAGTGTGGAGCGAGAGTAGCGCAGCAAGCAATTCTTAGACTGCCAGCTGTCAACAGCCAAGCGCATCTCTACCATCAAACATCACAGCTGTGCCACAGCGGGCAGCAACTGTAAGTGGTGCAGGCGCAAACCTGCCACAGGTTGAGAGGGAGGGAGGGTTACAAGCAATCCATTCTTAGACTGCCAGCTGACAACAGCCAAGCACATCCCTACCATCACACAACAAACGCTGCAGGCACAGACTTGACAACACAATCACAGGGCTTGGGCATAGTAAACCTATTCTTGCATGTACACACTCATGTGTGTATGTGCGCTCAAGTATGCGCGTACAAATATAAAATCAGACTGCACATATTCAGGTGTATATATATATATAAAAACATATATATATGCATATATAATATATAAATACATATATATATATAAATACATATATATATAAATACATATATATATATATATAATAATTATATAATAACGTATGGATCAGAGGTATGGAACAGAGGTATGGAACGGATCCTTCAAGGACGTATGGAACGGGGGTATGGAACGGGGGTATGGAACGGGTGTGGTCCCGGAGCTTGTTCCGGACCTCCTATTTTGACTTGCACCCATATATATGTATATTAAATAATGTTTCTATATGATAAATTATACAGTAAGATTTTATACGTGCAGTATATTTAGAGAAGTGGGTGTATCCTATATAACTGTGTGAACCAACCATGGTTGGAATCAACCATATGTGGATCTTGGAGGTATCACAACTTTAGAGACTACTGTAGGATCCACAACATTGGCCAAGGCCTTTTCCGCCCAGTGTAGGCCGAGACGTCTCGAAGGCCAAGACCCGTGTGAGAAGTTTTTTTTTTTGTGGGAACCTCTCTCACACATCATCTTTTCCATGAATGTCAAGATTAAATTTATGAGTTGCCCAAAACAGTGGTCTCCATACAAGTGTCAAAGGGTATGTTATGTATGTTTCAAAACACCATACCAAAGAAAACACAACTTAGTCGGAATGGAATTGTTGCTTTGCAACCAGACACTTTCTTTCTATCTATCTGTCTATCTATCTATCTATCTATCTATCTCTGATCTATCATTGTCACCAGCTGGTGGTGAGCAGCTCCAGTGGTTGATGATAAAACCTTGTGAATAGCAACAAGGTGCCACCACCATTGAAATATATCTACCATTAATACCACTAATCTATATTGAAATATTAATGGTTGGACATAGATCTACCATTAACAATATTGATATGGTAGATATATTTTCAATGGTGCTACTATTAGTTGAACATATATCTACCATTAATACCAGCTGAATATCAGTGAGATAAACCAACTTAGCATACCCGGCCTGGTAAACGTACGTTTAGATAACGAACTGGAAAGATCCACCATTTTATAGCTGGGTAAATCCACGAACTAAATGGGCCATTTTCAAGTTCGCAACCTGTTTCTTTACCAGGCCGGGTACCTGAGCTAAACTTCCAATCAACAGAATCCACAGATTTGGTGTGGTCAAATCTACCCGACCAAAGCAATGCTTCGCTACGCGGCAACATACGACAGTTGTATTGTAAAAAACGACAGTTGGTGATGAAATCCTATTTTAATGGTGATTTTAATGGTGATTTTTCATGGGATTTACTGGTAATTTAATGGGATTTACCCTCTGGTTATGACTAACATAGCGAAATGGAAGCCATGGCCCATAGAAATAGATGGTTTACCGTTCTTAATAGCGTGGTGGATCTTTCCCATGGCTATGTAACAAATAACTAGATGGTAAATCCTATGTTTGGCGATTCCCAGCATAATAATTGTTTGCCGACGTTTCCTGTAGATGTTCCCTTATTCCCATGGCTTTAGTTGGATGTCCCCAATCTTTGATGGCTAAATCCCCATGTTTGATACCTGGTGATACCAGCTATATCCAAGTTTTCGATTCTTACCTAAGCCATGTATCTAAACATATATAAACCATATGAATCCATATGGTATAAACCATGGCTTTAGTTGGATCGGGCTGTAGTTGGATATTGACCAAGCAGGTGGAAAGTTGAGGTTTCAGTTCAACTAATTCAGTCTGATTTGTCTAAAAATAGGGGACCTCTAAATCCATTGGCTAATCATCATTTCACCTATTTAAAGTAGCATAGCCGGGGGGGGTTTACACCATTTTCAGAGGAACCCTCCTTATTTCGCCCATTGTATCCCCAGTACTTTCCTGTTCAGAACGAGTTGAGGTCATATCCCATGGCTTTCCTTGGATTCCCATCATGGCCCAGGAGAGCAGGGATGTCAGTCATCCCATTTATGGACCGATCATCCCGGTTATAACCATTGAAGGTGCTTTCCTAAAACCCATGACGGATCCGTCTGGTGCTGCTATATATGGTGTGCCATGGATCCCATCAAAATACCCCCAATGATCAATGTTAGCATTTTTCTACCAGCACCATGGATCCGTTATGGGAAATAGTGCTACCCCCCCAGTTCTCATCCAGCTAGTTGGGTACCCCTATTATAGCAACATGCTGCCATAGCTCTGGTTGCAAGTCAGTTGTAACCCCATAGAAATAACCATTTAAATCACGATAGAATCTATAGAAATAACAATCTATAATCATTTTTGACCATAGAAGCAACCATTAATATATATATATATATATTGCCGCAGCTTGAGCTTCTGGGGGCCTGGAGGGAAAAAAAATATTATAACCACAGGAATAACTGGTAAAGGGCTTGAACTGCTTGGCATTTTACGTCCCCCTTCGACGCTTTTCGCATCGAGGCACCCTAGGCATTTCTGCGCCACATCCAAGCGGCCCGTCTTCCTAGGTATCTTTTCTGGTTGGTGGTTGAGCCCTAGCCCAACTTAGCAGACCCGGCCTGGTAAACGTACAAACATAACGAACTGGAAAATCACAATTTTAATGGGTAAATCAACTATAAATGACCATTTTCAATAGCTATGTTAGCTTAGCGGAGGGTAACTTGGTGATTCATAGGGATGCATCTTTTCTGCTTGGTGGTTGAGCCCTAGCCCTCTGAAAAATGATGGAGTTCGTCAGTTGGGATTATTATTATTCCCAATATATGGAAAAATAGTCCGAATGTTCCATATCTGGTGGGTGGTTTCAACCCCTCTGAAAATATGAAAGTCAGTTGGGATGATGAAATTCCCAACTGAATGGAACAATAAAATTCATGTTCCAAACCACCAACCAGTTTTGATTTGTCCAAGAAATCCCAGAGATGCATCCCTATAAATCCCGCATCAAAAAGAGATTCAAAAGAACTTGATGAATTCTTACCAACAAATAGGGATGCTGAGGGGATAGGGATTTACATGGATTTATAATCACTAAATGACACTAAAAGGGAGGGTTAACAAATGTTAACAATCCAAAATTGGGATCCCAAAATGTCAAAATCCGGGGTTTTGATTCATTAGTAATCAAAGCTGGCTTTCAGGACATTTCACATTGCGGGTTTCCTGAGTCAACTTGTGAGTATGGGAGTATGGGTTAGTATTTAAAACTCGAATGGTACCAACAAACAGCCAATTTTATGAGTCCATTGCTACCCCATCTTTAAGCGATACCCTCATACGTCGCAGGCCCCGTCATATCTGTACGTACTCAATAGAATGTGTCCTTCAACTGAGACAATGATCCCCAAGTTATGGTGAGTGAATGGGATGGTGTATTATAATTGGGTCACGTTAGTATCTGGTTGGTGGTTTCAACCCCTCAGAAAAAATATGAAAGTCAATTGGGATCATTACTCCCAATATATGGAAAAATAAAAAATGTTCCAAACCACCAACCAGGTATGATAGTCATTGATCATACATTATCATAAATGATATTACCATTATATTCACTTACTATCCATTACTATGAATCCCAGTTGTGGTTGCCTAGTGATGCTTCATCCACTGCGTTGTCGTTTGGTATTAGCCTCCGGTGTCATCAAACGTGGCATGCTGGAAAACCCCCTATAAATAGAAGTTTATAGCTGGGAAAATCACCGAATATCATCGACCTAAATGGGGAATGGTATGGTATTGTCCATTGCCACGTTTGATGACACCAGAGGGTAAATCATCTGCTGCTATCAATGATGGTGAGGTATTTTGACCCATACCCATGTATAGAACCATCATGTATTCTTTCTGTATCCCTGGAATCAACCCAACCTTTATCACAGCAGTAAACAAACCACGAGCACCGTTCAAAGGATTAGTTGCAAGGTATCCTATATATCTATGAAACATCCGGAAACCATGACTTTTTCCCCCTCAAATATGGAATGGTTTCCCTGATTCTAGCAAATTTCATGTTTTTTCCAGTTTTTTCCCTCAATTTCCCCATTGAACCAATAGTGGCAGCCAAGGAACACGCACATCTTGGACATGCTCTCCCATACATTGCTGGAGCGCACACCCTTCACCTCAGATGACCCTAGATGACCCCCTCATCCCAGTGCTGGTGAAATATAGACCCATCACTTCCTATATACATATACGTATACATATACACATACTGGTTGGTGGTTTCAACCCCTCTGAAAAATATGAAAGTCAGTTGTGGTGATGAAATTCCCAACTGAATGGAACAATAAAATTCATGTTCCAAACCACCAACCAGTATATGTATATATAATATATATATATATATGTATCATGCCTATATAAAGATGAATATAGATGGATTAACTATGGATGATGGCAGTATAAAAATTCATTCCAAGGATTTTCCAGCTCCCTGCTCCATCCAGCTCCACCATCTGGTTATGACATTCACAGTTCGCCATGGAAAGATCCACCATTTTCAATAGGTAGACCATCTATAAATGGGTCATGGCTTCCATGGCTATGTTAAATAACCAGAGGGTAACTTATATTCCATCATAGTTCCCATCCCAGCATGGACTATTTACTTGGCGGCGAACTACCCACGGCTCGTGGCCGTGGGTTAGTTCACCCCAGTGATAAAAACATGGGATAAGGAGCGGGTTAATCCACTGAAATAATTGGGGCTATAACTCACTTACGAGCCGTGGGATGAACCACCAAGTATCAACCTTTATCCCAACAAACATCATCAACTCTTGTAGGCAACTTGTTTCCAGCACCATGGACCATCTGGGTATTCTGCATATTCCCATGGTATTTCCCCAGCATTTCTGACAACCGTCCTCCCACCCGGCGCACGGGGCCGACAGGGCCACCAGGTGACGCTTTTGTAGGCCTCATCGGTGTTGCCACAGGCCAAGTGATACGAAAAGTTCAGCAAGGCTGCTGTGGTCTCCTCGTCCATGTTCCTGAGCCAAGATTTGTGCCAAATTTTCGAGGGATTTACCGGGCAAAAAGAGGGATGATCCAATCATTTTAAGCAGCAAAAACGGATGATGTAATGATCTGTAACCACAAAAAATGGGATATTTACAACGTCCCAGTGATGTTTGTTGGTTTATTTAAAAACATCACGAATACTATATATGTTGTAAGTAACATAAACCATAGTTGTTGGAATTATTTGCACCAACTGAGCTATCGTTTGGGGGCCCACTTTGTACCAGCCAAAAATGGGGATTTCACATGATTCAACCGGCAAAAAAGGTTGATGTAAACACCCAAAAAATAGGATGTCGCCACTGAAGATGGTGATGTGAGCACTAAACATGGTGATATAACAACTAAAAATGGTGATTAACCAGCAGAAATGGTGATGTAACCACTAAGCATTGGGATATTTAACCAGCAAAACATAGTTATTTTATGAGGACCCTCATGAAAGCATCAAATGCCGCGTGCAGTATGGCTGCAGCAACAGTCAGTGCCTCGGAATCACACCTGCAATCATTAAAACCATCCCAAATTGCTGTCTGGATAGGGAAACCGATGCCTTTGGGGTAATATATGTCCGTTCAAAACCGCTTCACCTTTATGCCACCATTAATACTATATGAAACATGGCAGCGCATGGTGCCTCTTGAAACCCGGCCAGTTTAAAGTGTTCACCACAGAAACCGTCACTGATCAACTAATCACGTGTCCATAACATCAACTGATATATCTACATTGATAGTATGGACAATAGCATACAGATATATCAATACTGCTATATTTACCAGATATGGACCGTTAGTTTTGGACTGTAATATATCAATTCACTCCATAGTTTTTTCCGTTGATAGTTTTGGGTAAACTATAGCAGTTTCAATTCTGTAACCCACCCTCAAATCACAGCAACTGCAATGCAAATTCCACAGCGACCTTTAGGCCCCAAGCTCTGCGGCCAACCCTTTCGCTAGATGGATTTTGGAAGGAATTTTTTTGTGGGATTCCTGGTGGATGTTTAGATCTGTGGTGATCGGGGAGCAGCACTATTTGGCAGGACTGAGTGAAGGGTCCAACTGGTTCCAAATTGGATCCTTCGTATGTCATGTCCAGCCAGCTGAGTTGAGCTGCTCGCATTTTGTCGCCTACGAGGTGGTACCCCCAGTTATAAGTTGGTTTATAAGCCGCATTGACTATAGATAACACATGTTTACCATAAACCATAGTTAACCTAGTCGAAAACCAACTAAGTTAAGTAACGTTAAGTATGGGGCACCACCTTGTATACAAGGTGGGGCTGCCTAGATATAAGTTGGATGATTACCCCCTATGTATTGGGTATTTCCCAGTGGCCCGTCATCTTGGTTAAATCAAGTAACAGCCCCATGTTTCGGCTGATTGAACCATGATATCCCCATCATAATGGGATCACTTCTCGGGATTTTGCCCTCCCAAGTGGAACCCGATTTCGCAACCATCCCCAGTATCACCAATCATTTCCCTTATATTATTGTTCATTACTTGACCAGAATCCGTTCTAGTCCGTTATGTCCCCATCATTATCCCATGATATTGTCCATTAATCCATCAAGATTCCATAAATAATGCATTATCTCCAATTATATCCTATCATTTGGTTGGGAAACTCTAAGTAGCTCCTTTGCTCTTCATTTTATAGAAGGAAAGTTCATGGGATTTGTCCTTTGGATCATGAGAATTGACCCATTTTTTGTACATCATGTGCACGTGAAAGCACAAGACTTGCCAACTTGAAACTGTTCTCATTCTACAGTAATATCACACAATGTGAACGGATTTCATGAAGAGACGCGGCAGCCTACTACTTTCTTCATGCGAACGCGAATTATCGTATGTGACTGCTTGTGCATCCACACATGACAAGGCTATGGTAACCAAATTCGATTTAGTTCATGTTTCAGTGGGGACTGAGCTCATGCCATTCGTTTCTGTGACATGTTAACCAGGCTCACGTTTTACTAGTGGCCAGCCTACACTGACACATGTCATACTTGAGTTCCAAATCTTTTGCCAGAAGGAATTAATTTCTGTCTAATTGAATGCGGGAGATGATTCTTTGCTTAGCAATGTGTTTGGACCTGAAATCTTGCAGCGCCTTTCGCATTTGTTTTTGCGGGGTTGTCCTAAGGCCAGCCCATGCGCGCAAGTGATCTCAGAAACGTGTTGCTACAAGGTGTTGGCCGAATTGAATTGTGATTGGGATAGACCTGCGGCTCAGGCGAAGGATGCACTTGAGGCACAATGAGTCGTTTGACATGGCAGCAGCAGTTCAGCAATATTTGCGGAACTTGCGTTGCAGGCACAGAACCTTGATTTAGGGCCCACTCAATTTAGGCAGATTATGGAAGCCGATTTATTTCTTGCCAGCAATTCTAGAGGTGGTTGGGCAGGCATGCTCTGCACTTCATCAGTTTCATGGCTTATAGTTTTAACTGATGGCAAGCGGCAGTGGCTTAAACTAGCCTGAACTCATGTGAGCACATCTGGTTGGTTCAAACGAATTAAATAGCACTACAGTCTACAAGTTTCATATTGGACCTTCAATGAAAACCATGTTGGAAGACATGTGGGAGCAGCATGGTCTCTGATATTAGCAAGGCTCTCAACAACATGGCCCGCAGAGCCACTTTAGCAACATGGCCATAAGAGCCACTCCAGCAACATGGCCCAGAGAGCCACTTCTGATCAACAGGGTAGGAACTAGCGGTCCGAAGCACCAAAGCATGCTGCAGGAGGCACTAGGCAAGTAAAACAAAAACACCAAGTTGAGACATGGGTGTTCAGCAGGATCAAAGTCAACGGCTGCCATGCAATTGCCGGGGCAATGTTTCATTACCTATCGCTTAACATTCCACCCACAGGTCATGTAATAGGAACTTACTGAGTCTAGCCGCTAGCCCTGGTGGCAATAGCCTTGACCATCAAAAGCATACTGAAGCCGGTAGCGGAGACAGCGGTGAGCAGAGCAATGGATGGGAAGAACAGCAACAAACTACAAATTCTTCGGGGAGTAAGGTCACTAGGATGGCAATTTGAACCTTCATCGAAACGTATTTCAAAGATATGACATGGATTCCTCGTCAAGATGACCATGACTACGAACATGGATACTCACTCCTTTTTCTTTTGGTTGTGCTGAGAATACTCTGGGGCGTTTTGTTTTCGTATAGGACACTCGGCCCCAGCATGCCCCAGGTCGCGCAAACAGCAACAAGAGGAAACACGACATCAAAGTCCATCTATTGCAAACACTTGTATCTGTATGAGCATCGCTTGAAGTTATCTCAGAGATTTTCAGAGTGCCTACAACAATGAAAATCACAAAGTCAGGATGGCATAGAGGGCCACAAACTCAACAACACCAAACAATCAAAATGGCCCAAAGAGGAAACCATTTGCAAGTCAGTGAAATACAACAGCCCAGTCGGTCATTCTTTTTTTCACCCCTCAGAGTCTCTCTCCTACGGTGCATGCCATTGTGGCCAACGAGGTTCCATGTTCGGTGCACAACGAGACTTCGGAACCATATTCAAGCGGCGAGACCACGGCTTTGACTTGAACTTGCCTCTCTCGCGTTCCACGGCCCTTTTGCTCTTCTGTAGTGGACGAGGCCAGGGAGGTTGATTCAAACCCATAGCTTTGATTTTTTCCATGTGCGGCTTCAGCTGTTGGTTCAATTCAGAGGCTTCTTCATCAGTTTCGCCTTCAGTCAATGTGTCATCTCCAAAGAGAGTGTGGTTGTCGTCATCAACTTCCAGAGCGTTCGTGGCAGAGGGCTGTACCATCCCTGTGTCAGAGCTGAATGACAAGACCGTGGTAGTCGGTCTGGAAGACGACGAGGTGGAACCAGGAAGGCCTTCACTATCAGCAAGGTTCCTGACGGGCGTACAAGAATATACAGAAGTCATCATTATGTCAAAAGGACAACATGGCCCAAAGAGCCACGATTCACTACTTAGAACGTAAGCGCTGCTTACCATTCAGTTCATTGTGATACCATGCAATATTTGCTTTAGGCGAGCCACCGACATGTTCAAAAAATGGAAACCGAAGGAAAAACAAACTCGGGCGCCCTGTATTCAGCAATGGTGTTCAGAAGTTTCGCGTTCAGAGCCTCATCTGCCTCATCATCTTGCTCCTTCTTGGCCATGGCAGCAAGTTAGGCACGTGCAGGGTTGAGTGCTTGATTGTTATCTGTTTTTGGGAAGCTTTCGCTATATGTGCCATACATTGGTCTTTTTCCTGCCCAAAGTCTAGTGGGAAGTTGCACACTGTGAAGTTTTTGAAAAATTGACGGCGCAAACCTTCTGCCTGCACCGCCATGTTCTCCATAAAAGTTCTCTTTTCAGAGCGCAAGGTGCCCAGAAAACTGAGAGATCGTTGGTCATTCCCTGGCGCCAATGAAGCATGGGTAATGGAGGCCAAATCACTTGTGAGTCTGGTTGCCACACATTGGGCTGAGATGCAGCAAGTGGCCAAATCTGCCATGGGTCTGGTTGTCGACCAAATGCCGCAGAGACGAAGAATCATTATCTCAGTCTCCTTCACATGCTCGCACTCTTCATCAACCTGGTCTGCCCCATGCGCCAGCACAGCACAGCGAAACCATTCAGCAGTGAGCGTCTTGAGTTCCATGGATGCTGCCATAGGACCAATAGCGCTTTCTGGGAAGGAAGTCACGCAGTGAACCTTTGCAAAACCTGAAGCCCATGTCACGGAGAGTCACTTTGGAAGAATCATAGCACGGGACGAACCATCTTCAAAATGGCCCCGAGAGCCACTGTCAAGCCAAGACGAAGAAAACGCCAAAAAAAACATAAGGACAATATACAACAACCATATTATATATATATGTATCTATCTATCTATCTATCTCTCCCTCTCTCTCTCTCTAATTTCGCGTGTAAGCTAGATAGGATTATCAACCTTAAAACCTTGGTGTCACAAAAACTCTTGGGAAAAAGGAATGGCATCAGCCCAGACCCGTAGAAATTTCACTACGGCAACCTTTTCGTGTGCAGATGCACAAGCAGTCACATACGATAATTCGCGTTCGCATGACGAAAGTAGGAGGCTGCCGCATCTCTTCATGATTTCCGTTCACATTTTGTGATATTACCGTAACGTAGAATTAGAACAGTTACAAGTTGGCAAGTCTTTTGCTTTCATATGCACATTTTGTAGAAAAAAGGGACAATTCCCACGATCCAAAGGACAAATCCCATGAACTTTCCTTATAGGTAACATACAGGGAATATGGATACCCATAGCTCCAAATCGCTCTTAACCACTGGGTAGTATCCCTAATTACCCTCTGGTAAACGTTTACACAACTATGGAAAATCACCATTTTTCATGGGTATATCAACTATTTCCATGGCCATTTTTCATAGCAATGTTAGTTTACCAGAGGGTAATTGTCCAACCAATCGTTATTAGTCAATGGCACGGATTATCCCATATATTATGGAAAATAAAAAATGTTTGAAACCACCAACCAGAATCATATTGACATCTACCCTCTGGTAATTTAACATAGCTATGGAAAATGGCCATTTATAGCTGATTTACCCAGCTACAAAATGGTGGTTTTCTATGTTTATGTTAGTTTAGCAGAGGGTAATCCCCATTATCATCCTATTGTTACCGATTATACCCTCATGATGGTTGGTTATGTATCAGCCGCCAAATCCCTATAATATATACTATCAACTAATCCCAAGGTTTGCCATTTTGATCATCCCATTTTTACCCCTTGAATCCACCAAGCTTCTCGAGGCCCGCGAAGTCGCGCAGGACGTTCTTGGTGATGGGGTCACCTCCATCCTGCAGCTTGTTACGAGATGGGTTCCACAACCCGTTGTGTTGATTTAATGGGATTTAATGGGATTTAATGGGACTTCATGGGTTTTTATGGTGATTTAATGGGATTTAATGGAAACTTGATGTATAAATTGAATTGTGTTGATTTATAAATCCAAGTAGCTATAGATCTACTATAGATATAAACGATAATAGAGTAACTATATACTATATAGATATATCAATTTATTTATATAACTATAGATGTATATCTACTATATCTACTATGTCTATTGATATCTACTATATCCACCATAAATCTTTGGTTGTATTAGAACATTTTACTCATGGACATTTATAAACCAACTTAACTGACTAGGGGGCCCCATCTTGTATCCCAGGACAGTCCCAGCTGGCCACCACCAAAAATTACTTTACTTCGAGTCATCCCCACCATGACATTTATACGTTTTGTTACTGGCAAATCTTCTGGCATATCTTCTGGCATTTTATCTGGCATATCTTCTGGCATTCTATCTGGCATATCTTCTGGCATTCTACCTGGCATATCTTCTGGCATATGTTCTGGCATATCTTCTGGCACTCTATCTGGCATATGTTCTGGCATATCTTCTGACATTCTATCTGGCAAATCTTCTGGCGTTCTATCTGGCAAACATTCTGGCACTTTATCTGGCATACCTTCTGGCATTCTATCTGGCATACGTTCTGGCATATCTTCTGGCATATCTTCTGGCATTCCATCTGACATTCTATCTGGCGTTCTATCTGGCATATCTTCTGGCATTCTATCCGGCCGTTGAGGTCCAGCGGTGCCCACTGAGCTCGGAAGGTCCCCAGCGGTGCCCACTGAGCTCGGAAGGTCCCAGGTTGAGGTCCAGCGGTGCCCACTGAGCTCTGAAGGTCCCAGGTTGAAGTCCAGCGGTGCCCACTGCGCTCAGAACCTGGCGGTTGAGGTCCAGCCGTGCCCACTCAGATCAGAAGCCGGCAGTTGAGGTCCAGCGGTGCCCACGGTCCAGCAGTGCCCACTGCGCGCAGAAGTTGGCGGAGAGATTGGCGACGAGCTGGCAAGGCGGAAGTGGACGTGGAAGTTGATGCAGACATGGTCGAGGAGAAACTGGAGGAGGAGGAAGAGGAGGAGGCCGAGGAGAAGGAGGAGGAGGACGAGGAGGAGGAGGAGGTGGCGGAAGAACAGCTCTGATAAAATCTAACAACCCTCACCTGGCAGGTGGGGAAAAATGGAGATTAGTCTCCTGGTTATATAACCCCATAAATTGCCTTGTTGGTTAAGCCATGTTAAACCCTACTTTCTTTGGTGGTTAAAATTCCAGTTTTAGGTAGTTAGGTCCAATTTTTTTTGCCGGTGTAAACACCCGATGTTTTTTGCTACAAAATCCTTCTAGTTGGTGGTTTTAAACATCTTGAAAAATATTATTCAATGGGAAGGATTATCCCATATACTATGGAAAATAAAAAATGTGTGAAACCACCAACCAGCAACTTGTTGCTAATTCAACTCCAACTTTTTGCTGCTTCGAAAGCCAACGTTTCGTGACTCTTGGGAAGTTACGTCCAATGTTTTGCTGGTTTAAGACCTCTTTTTGCTGGACCCCAAATCTAAGTTTTGGTGGTTAAGTCCCACTTTTGACCACAACTCACAATTTTTGTTGGGTCAAATCCCAATGTTTGGTACTTCAACATGTTTTTTCCCTAGTTAAACCATGTTTAACTGGTTGGTGGTATACCTACCCCTCCGAAAAATGATGGAGTTCGTCAGTTGGGATTATGATATTCCCAATATATATATATATATATATTAATATATATATATATATATATATAAATATATGGAAAATTAAAACATGTTGCAAACCACCAGCCAGCTAAGTTTAAGATATTTTTTCGCTGGTGAACTCCCACTTTTGGTTGCCTCCAACCCTTCCAAGCCATTGCCGTTTGGGATCCCGCCTCGCTGGTGCCCAGACGAGAGAAGTAGACGCGCGGCACGATGAGGCCCGCAGGCATCCGCGTCACGCTGTGGTTCTCCGGGTCGATGCCTGGGAGAAATGGCAGGCGATGCAACGACATATATTTCTAATGGATTTTAATTGTGATTTATGGTAATTTATGGTGATTTAATGGGATTTGCTGGTAATTTATGGTGATTTAATGGATTTTAATGGTGATTTATGGTAATTTATGGTGATTTACTGGTAATTTAATGGGATCTAATGGGATTTAGTGGGATTTACTAGAATTTTAATGGGATCTAATGGGATTTAGTGGGATTTGCTGGAAATTTAATGGGATCTAATGGGATTTAGTGGGATTTTCTGGAAATTTAATGGGATTTAGTGGGATTTTCTGGAAATTTAATGGGATCTAATGGGATTTAGTGGGATTTACTGGAAATTTAATGGGATTTACCCTCTGGTAATTTAATATAGAGATTCTGGTTGGTGGTTTCAACCCCTCTGAAAAATATTAGTCAAATGAGTCAAATGGGAGTATTGTTCGCAATATAGGGAAAAATAAAAAAATGCTCCAAACCACCAACCAGCTATTGAACATGGCCATTTATAGTTGATTTACCCAAAAAAATAAAAGGTGATGTTTAGTTATGTAAACGTTTACCAGAGGGTAAATCATTCCGATTTAGATGCGTGCGCAGCAGATGAGGAAACCAAAAAAGAATGCACAAAGATCAAAAGAGGCCCTTCAAAACTACGAAGCCAAAGCCTCGTTCCAGTAGCCCTCAAGTCCATTGAAAAGGTAGGAACTCCCATCATCGTAGATCTCTGAAGCGAGGCTTGCAGGGATTCTCAGCGCAGCTGACCTTCCTTGCCAACCGATCACACTGCTTCTTTTCGTTTTGGTTGTTCATGTCTGAGGCCCTTTCGGTGTTTCCTTTGCCCTTTTCTTTTTGCCCGGGCTTTGCTCCACCAGTTCCTGGTTTTGTCTGGGCCCTCGTGGGCGACAATGTGGTAGAACCACGTCTTGTCCATCTCGTCCTTGATCAACGAAAACTCCTCGTGGAGTGGACACCAGTCTTCGTGGTGTCTCCGTTTCATTGCACATCCCTGAGAATTACTTTCTTCGAGTGATCGCCACCGATACAATTTCTGACATACAATTTGAAAGTATATATGGCATGTATATCAGGCATTCTATCTGGCATTCTGTCTGGCATTCTCACAGGCATGCGTTCCAGGCACTCCACAGCATCCGGAGCTCACGATATGGAGTTCGGGTCCATGCGCACTCCACAGCATCCTGAACTGACGATATGCGTGCCCCACAGCATCTGGAGCTGGCAATTTGGGAGCGAGTGCAGCAAGTGCAGCAAGCGAAGAGGAGGAGAAGGAAGAGGAGGAGACGAAGGAGGACGAGGAGGACGAGGAGGCGGAAGAAGAAGAAGAAGAGGAAGAAGAAGAAGAACAGCACCTTTGTTAAACTCATTTAAAATCTAGATACCCTCACCTGGCAGGTGGGGAAAAAATGCAAATTTAAGCAGCAAACATTGGGATTTATAGTTGAATTGTCTTAGCAATGGGAGTTATAACCAACAAGACTGGTTGATGTTATAATTTGATTGGGATATAACATGATATAGCCATCAACGAGAGGGAACTTACATATCAGAATTTACTTACTTTGCTCTAAAAAGGGATTTGCTTAACCATATGGAAATGTGCAAGACAATTTGTGGTTTAAGATGGATTTTAGACAAGAATTTATAGGTGCTTAACATGGCTCAACTGTCCAACATGGGGGTTAATTGTGATTGTGAGACCTCCTGCACCACGGTTGATAAGTAGCCTATAACACCAATTAATAACTCTCAACTGGTTATTACTTGGAAAATAATATTGGGAAATAGCAGGAAATCATGGCGTTTTTCCAAGGATTTTATGGATTGGTGCATACCTATCAAGAAAATAGGGACTTCTGATGACTTCGTCTATGACTTCAGATTATTGAGCAAATCTTTGGAAAATCATGGGTACATGGGGCTGGACAATTTTTATGGCTATCAGGACCAGTAAATCTGAGGCAACAAGAGGAGACAAGGTTGCAGATATTTTTCGTTTCGTTTCCAACAGCTCATGCTTTGTGTATTTTGAACGTGGAACATGGCTCATTCTCCAAGCCATCCCCTCTCTTACCGCGCGAACCAAGATACAACTGATGTTGTCCTGGTCCACTGGAGGAGATGCAGGAGATCCCATGTGTTGGTTACCGGTGAAGTTCGCCATGAAGTTACCGTCTGTCTGATGCAATAACCATGGTTAATAGTGATTAATAGTGGTTTATAGTGGTTATTAGTGATTAATACCTGATCTAATGAATAATATTTCTGGTTGGTGGTGCTATTTCACCATCTTGAAAAATGATGGAGTTCGTCAATGGGAAGGATTTTTCTGATTATCCCATATATTATATGAAATGGAAAAAAATATGTTCCAAACCACCAACCATTTTCAGGTTGTCCTATTTTCTACTCAAATACACGTTGGCCCTCTTTTGGGCTTGGCACAAGTGTAGAATTACAACTAGAACCAGCTGAATCATTCGGTGAATTGTTCACCTCGTATGTAAAACACATATTTTCGGTGATGCTCTCCTTCCGAACAAACAACTTACGCATATGCAGAATATGTGTTGTCCATTTGGAGGTTTCGTGAAATAGGGGTATCCCCACCATAAACTAAACTGGTTGGCGGTTTCAGCCCCTTTGAAAAATATGAGTTCGTCAGTTGGGATTATTATAATTCCCAATGCATGGAAACATAATCCAAATGTTCCAAACCACCAACCAGTAAAATAAACCAAACTTATCCTAGCCATCTGCCAGTTCAGTGGCTTCGAACTACCATGGTACCCCGAGTTTTCCATATCTGCCCATGTGAAGCCACCGAAAAAATCATCTCCTGCAAGAGGATCTGCTCAGAGGTGGCAATGAAGAGCGTGATGGCCTTGGTGATGGGAAAATCAGGGATTTTCTGAGTGAACATAGGGATTTTTTGGCATATTCATGATGGTAAGAGATCCATATAGATGGTAGTGAACATAGGGATTTTTTGGCATATTCATGATGGTAATAGATCCATATAGATGGTAGTGAACCTAGGGATTTTTGGGCATATTAATGATGGTAAGAGATCCATATAGATGGTAGTGAACATAGGGATTTTTTGGCATATTAATGATGGTAATAGATCCATATAGATGGTAGTGAACATAGGGATTTTTTGGCATATTAATGATGGTAATAGATCCATATAGATGGTAGTGAACATAGGGATTTTTGGGCATATTAATGATGGTAAGAGATCCATATAGATGGTAGTGAACATAGGGATTTTTTGGCATATTAATGATGGTAATAGATCCATATAGATGGTAGTGAACCTAGGGATTTTTTTGGCATATTAATGATGGTAATAGATCCATATAGGTGGTAGTGAACATAGGGATTTTTTGGCATATTCATGATGGTAATAGATCCACATAGATGGTATTTTCTTATGTGATTTTTAATAACATCAGGGATTTCTATATGTGGCGTAGTAGATAGGACACTAATATAGAAAACAACATGGGTAATAGATCCATTGGGAAAATAGATTATCATGATTAATATGTGGCATTTTAATTATCCAAAACCCCTTTGATTTTCTTATTTTCTTTGGCATATTAATGATGGTAATAGATCGGACACATATAGAAAACACCATGTTTTTTTCCTGTTATCAAAATCCCCTAATCTTGGGATATCATTGTAGATTATCATGGATATAAAAACATTATTATTATGAATATGAACAATGGAAATGGTTAATGATATTAATAATGGATAAGTGCTGCATAATTGATTCTGATGGTTATAATGGATTATTGGATGTATAATGGATGAATAATGGCTATATATATAATAATATATTATGTATATATATATATATTTATACTTTAGCACTGATGTATTAGGAAAGTGTGGATGTAAATGGCTTTCCATGTAAAATGTGGTGCCCCAGTTTGGAATCGTCGATGGAGTTAGAAACGCAAGTTTTATGGGGATTGGTGGATTGTAGTCCCAAAGGGGGATATAATTTATGGGGTTCCACCTATATAAATGGTGATTTCATGGTGGGTTTATTCTCATGAACATTCATGAACTATAGATATATCTACCAGATTCAACCAGAAACCATAGAATTCACCTAGTGAATTACCCTCTGGTAATTTAACATAGCTATAGAAACTCACAATTTTTAATGGAAAAAATCCACTATAAATGACCATTTTCAATAGCTATGTTAGTTTACCAGAGGGTACACCAAGTTTGTTGCCTTATCGTTGAGCCAATGTGGGCTTTCTTGGTGGCAAGTTGCACAGTGGCTGGGTGCTTTCTTGTTCTCCTCACTTTTCATGCCGAGCCGTGGCGGGGTCGGCCGCTGTTTCTGCGGTGAACACATGAATCTAACCATAGGAAAACCATAGGAAAACCATGGGAAAAATGGAGGTTTTAATGGGAAAACCATAGGAAAACAATGGGAAAATGGAGGTTTTAATGGAAAAACCAAAGGAAAACCATGGGAAAATGGAGGTTTTAATGGGAAAACCATAGGAAAACCATGGGAAAATGGAGGTTTTAATGGGAAAACCATAGGAAAACCATGGGAAAATGGAGGTTTACCCTCTGGTAAACTAACAGTTTGCTATTGAACATGGCCATTTATAGTGGATTTTCCCATGAAAAATGGTGGATCTTTCCATAGCTGTCTTAAATTATCAGAGGGTATCCAGCAAATACCTGGGGTAAAATTGAATACAATATGGATATATTACATATAGTTTCACTTATAAACAAGTGCCCATCATAGACAAATGGGATCACCCATAATATAATATAGACAAATCGACAATTTCTGATGCTTAAATTAGATCATCTCCGCATTTATAAACAATATCCCCGTCAATATCCTCCAAAAAGACAAATGTCTAGATAGTTTCCCCTGCCCATGCGCGCAGTGTATGGAATATTTACTAACATTAACGCCAAAAATGACCCCAAACCCGGCAAATATTCCATACATGCTCATGTGGGATATTTATGTATACATAATTCTATACATACATATGGTCATAAATAAAAATAACACATTGATCTACGGAAGTAGGCAAAATGTAGCCACTTATATCCATAACACCCATGGATGAATCCTTTTCACCAATTCCTATATGAACAGTTCCCATGAAATCCCACTACCCTCTGCTAATCAAACATGGCTGGCTGGAAATTTCCTGGAAGAAAACGGAGGTTCATACAGCTGGGAAAATCCTCGAACTATGGCTGGGGGGTTTTCCAGCCATGTTTGATTACCGCAGGGTTAATCCTATTCATATCCCATTATAAACCTCCACTCATCCCATTCATATCGCCATCAAATAAACATCTCATGAAAAACCATTGCGAAATCCCACGAAGTCCATATAAAACGGCCACTGGGCCACTAGTCACTAATTATAAAAAAACAACATTCTTTAGCCATAGGTGTTTAGTATCTGTTCTAAAAACATCCCATCCTCGACGTTTCTCCCATGGAAAAAACCGACATCTCCTCCGGTGGCATTGGCTTCTCGCTGTAGGCGAGAGCCTGTGGCACCACCTCGCAGCACAAGAGCCTCGAGGCGAAAACGCGGCCAGCGCGGTGGTTGCTGAACCCCGGAGCGGTGATGTTTGGGAAGGTAAGTACTGAAGTATAGGTGGCTGATAAAAGCCATGAATACTATAGTTGGTATTAACTATAGCTGGATGGCTCATACCATAAGACACATCCATTAGATATCATGATATAGAAAAACAATATGATATACATATATGATATGCGTATACACATGTTTATTCCATCTCTCTCACAATCTCTGGGACCTTCTTAGGATCTTCTTGGGCAATCCTCGTGGGGCACCCCATGTTTGATGTTCGCGGCATTTCCATGTGTATGCAAAACCTCCTGGGAAACCTGTGGCTGACCTACTGGCTTGCCAAAGCTTATGCCTGTGCCTTTCAAGGAGTTGGCCGTTATTTGGCACACTCGTGAGTGATGAGTATAACTCGCTGCCCGTGAGGTCTTCATCTTTGAGCATGTCAGCATGGCTCATCGCCAAGATAGATACAGTCGAGGTCCTCTGTCATTCCATTTAATCCTGGTTGGTTAGTACCATCCATTCCAGGAACCTAAATTGGAGGTACCTACCATATATAAGGCCTAGATTTCAGCTATGTCAGGGAAAATACAAAAACAAATGGATAAATAAATAAATAAATATAAATATATATATATATATACATATATATATATTTATATTTATATGTGTATATATATATATTTATATGTGTATATATATATATATGTTATTAAATATGTCCTTATCTGGTCCTAACCAACCTCCATTTTAGGGTCCTGAATTTCCCATGTTCAAACGATCCGAAGAGGGACCTCACATGAAAAAAAGAGGGATCACAGTCTTGGTGCCCAACCCTTGAAGTGAAAAGACCCAACAAGAGGAATAATCCAGAAGAGGACTGTCAGTATGTTCCAAGCCATGGAGCTATGTCATTCCGGGAAGCGTTGCTCGGCACGCCCAGCAGTCGGTAGTACATTGCAGCATGGCGAAGCATTGTACCCGGTCATGCTAAAGGCATCTAAAGGCCGTACCGGCCGGTCTTCGCCAGACTCTTCGCCTGACTCGTCGTCTGGCGAAGCCAGGCCAGGGGCAGATGAAGTTCTTGGCAGTTCCTGCAAACTGAAAGGCTGTTGCTCACGCAATTTATATATGCGTTGACCGCCCGACGAGTCCTTGGACTCCGGCTCTGTCTCGGTGAATATGAAGGTGTTTCTCACCTTCCAGTCGCGTGGCCTCAGTGGTCTGTGTCTTGTAATGTGTTCTGTGTTGTGTGTTGTGTGTTGCGTGTTCTCTGTTCTGTGTTCAAAGTTTTTTGTTCCCCACCTGCCAGGTGAGGGTTGTTAGGTTTTATCACAGCTGTCGACTCCTCCTTCGCCTCCTCCTCCTCCTCCACCTTCCTTCTCCTCCTTCCTCCCCCTCCTCTTCGCCAAGTTCTGATTGCAGCGGGCACCGCTGGACCTCAACCGCCAGCATCCCAGCTCAGTGGGCACCGCTGGACCTCAACGGCCAAAAAAATGTCAGAATATATCCCAGTTAGAATGTCAGAATATATCCCACATAGAATGTCAGAACATATGCCAGATAGAATGTCAGAACATATGCCACATAGAATGTCAGAACATATGCCACATAGAATGTCAGAACATATGCCAGATAGAATGTCAGAACATATGCCAGATAGAATGTCAGAACATATGCCAGATAGAATGTCAGAATATATCCCAGGTAGAATGTCAGAACATATGCCAGGTAGAATGTCAGAACATATGCCAGATAGAATGTCAGAGTATATCCCAGGTAGAATGTCAGAATATATCTCAGATAGAATGTCAGAACATATGCCAGATAGAATGTCAGAATATATGCCAGATAGAATGTCAGAACATATCCCAGATAGAATGTCAGAATATATCCCAGATAGAATGTCAGAACATATGCCGGATAGAATGTCAGAACATATGCCACATAGAATGTCAGAACATGTGCCACATAGAATGTCAGAATATATCCCAGATAGAATGTCAGAACATATGCCAGATAGAATGTCAGAACATATGCCAGATAGAATGTCAGAATATATCCCAGATAGAATGTCAGAACGTATGCCAGATAGAATGTCAGAACATATGCCAGATAGAATGTCACAACATATGCCAGAAAGAATGTCAGAACATATGCCAGATAGAATGTCAGAGTATATCCCAGGTAGAATGTCAGAATATATCCCAGATAGAATGTCAGAACATATGCCAGATAGAATGTCAGAATATATGCCAGATAGAATGTCAGAACATATCCCAGATAGAATGTCAGAATATATCCCAGATAGAATGTCTGAATATATCCTATTCTTGGATCGTTGAAGTCCCCAATATATTGGGTAGTACAATCCCGGAACTAATCATTCACCAACAGGTTTTTGAACATTGCCAGTTTATATCTATGGAATATACAATTACCAAAAACTAATATTCAGTTATGAAATATTTCCAGATATATTGTATATCATATTTCCAGTTATAGCCTCTGGTTATTTAACGTAGCTATAGAAAATCACCATGTTTAATAGGTAAACCATCTATAAATGGGCCATTTTCCATAGCCATGTTAAAGAACCGTAGGGTATCTAAGCTTCTATTTCCAGTTCATAAAATTCCTTAAATATGTACAGCAATACAAGCTAAGAATCAATTTATAAGAAATAAGTATAAATCAGTAAAAACATAACAGTTACATATTAGTTACCCCCTGGTAAATCAACATAGACCGTGCCAGATAGGATTTGGAAGATTAGTTGCCATTAAAAAATTGTGTTTTCAGGGTCTATGTTTATTTACCAGCGGGTATATCCACATCAATCCCATCTAATTCCCATTAAATCCCATTAAATCACCATCAAATCACCATTTATATTTCAATTTCATTCAATTTCTATGTCCAGTTCATATTTCCAATTCATATCTATCTCCATCTCGCCACCGCCAAGGGCGCAAGGCCCCCACCGGCACCTTGCATCCGTGCTATCCCAGAAGTGCGCCACCGGGACGCAGCTCTGCCCCACCTGCACGAAGAGAACCATGGATCCATATGGTTAATATGTCTGTATGGTTTCTATAGGTATCTAGGTATCTATGTTAAGTAGATTATCTTAGGTTAGATATCTAATATTATCTAATGATATCTAAAGAATTTCTCGGTTCATGTATTATGAGAATAACCAAATTCTTCATAGAATTCATATAATTCCCTGTTTTCATCAACCAACAGGGATTCTGAACAATGCCCATATGAGTAGCGGGCAATTAAAAGAAAAATGAATGCCATGCACACAAATTAGGGTCGTCCCCTATCGATTGTGAGGATTTCAGTACTCCCGGAGGTACCACACATGAGGTATCGGTATAGGGTCGTCCCCTATCAGTTATGAAGTTCTGTGCAACCTCAGGAAGGTCGAGGCGAAGCAAGGCTAAATTAAGTATCACATTTTTTTGTCGGTTACCCATTTGGAAAACTATGGCATAGTTATGATAAATGATAAAGCCATGAGTGGGGGTTAGATATGGGCAAAGATGCAAGCACAAGCGGACTTTGAAACGCAAATCTGAGGACTTTATACATGCCAGCGGGGTTGCTCCCCATACCTCAGATACACAAGGGGGAAACTGGACAGAAAAACTGGTAAACCTATCTAAATTTCCGCACAAGAGTGGCTATCATTCCTCTATAATGGGTTGGAACAATCCTGGCAAACATGAGGGAAATGGGAAGTCAAGAATGAAATCGCATGAATTTGCAATAGTAATGTTTCTTCAGTATCTTGGCAACAGGACTGGTGGCTTGATTCAGCAAACACCAGCAAATTGTTATATACATCACTCTACCATTTGTTACCAACAAGTGATAATATTCATGTATTCATACATATATATAATTATATACGTGTATATTAATTATATATTTACACCCAATCTTCATCTTAGAATCATTGCCAACAAAAGGTTATAATAAGGGCACATTGTCTAACCAACTCCATCTGGAGTTCGCGCTG